ATGGTGCTTGTGATAAATAAATTCGTTCCCTTTATTGTTTAAAAATTTTCGAATATTAAAATCCGACATTTGAAAATTTTCAAATGTTCTCATAAATTGTTGGAAGTAGTAGAATAGGTTCTCCAAACAAGAAAGAGAGAATTAACTCAAAGTAGAATAAAGAAGATATGTTCATAGTGGAATGGATGATCACTATATATAAAATATATTTTTCCAGATATTTTGTACCAACAAAAATCATGATTGGTTTCAGTTCAATATGTAAATCATTTTCTTATTACTTCCGGGAATCTTGGCTTTTTGGAGCTTTATAGTTTAAAAATAAGTATTTATACTCAGGGAGAATTTTCGTGTTTTTCAAAAAAGTTAGGTTGGAAGTTTTGAATTTCTCCAGCTTCTCTCACGCAATGATGAATAAATGACAACTTTTTCTCATGAAAAAAATATTAGGTAATATATAAATAATACAAATCTTTGTCATAAAAAAAAACATTAGATAATACATAAAAAATATTAGATGATACATAAATTCTTATATAAATAAGTTAAGAAATTGAAATACAATAAAGTAGGAGTCTTCCTACTTTATTGTATTTCAATGAAAAAATTACTCTAGGTATCACGTCATATCAGATTCATCTCTTTTGTCCCTTGAAAAGTCTTTCAGACGTCTGTCATCTGATGTGCACACAGCTTTTTACGTGACCTGATATTACCCTTGTGCAGATAATTTCTTCCATGCTTATTTTTCTCCTACTGATATGATCTTTTTCGATATTCCTTAAATCTTCAATATTTTCTACCTGCGCTCATTCAGACAAAAGGAGAACCCTTGAATTCATGAGTGGAACATGTTAGTAAAATCTTACGGTAAGACGTATTACAGAAAGTCTGGGATAAAGCTTTATCAACAAGTTTAGCAGCTTAAGAAAAGATATTGTTTGTACTGGAAGTCTCTTCTCGGTTACCAGCTTTCACAAGTAATAATCCATGCTAATTTCATTTACTTAACAACTTCAAACTGTTTCACCTTGTTTCACCTCCAGAATTTCAGTTGTGACTCTACGCCACTGCTAGTAATGTTAGCATTGAGGCACAACTGCTGAATAAAATTAGATTCGTATGTTATGTCAATAAAAAGAAATGAATAGATGTCATTTAAAGTGAAAGTCATGAAATATATATATGTCTGTCATATTTGATTGTAAATGTCCACAATATTTGGCAACGGAATTTCGAAGTAGAAGGGAAGTAAATTTGAAAAAAGAACAATATCGAAATGCTTATTGATTAACTGAAAATTGAAATCCTTCTTCACTTCTAATTCATCATTACTCGAAACTAATAGCTACACTTGCCTCTTCAGTATTAATGAATTTTTCCGATTTTAATTGCATTCATTCGCTCCGTTCTAATTGCTTTCAATAGTTTTAGTCGATTTACAGATCAATTTTGCGTTGAACTTTAATCAGACTATAAATTAATAAATTAGTTGTGCTAGTCAGAAGCGGAATTGTTTTCTGAGAATATGAATAAGTGGACTTTTACAGAACAATTGTATTCCACTGAAATTAAAGCAATCAAGTAATTTGTAATCTCCAACTACCTTTGAAAACAGCTTAAAGCTAATTCTCGCTCTCTCCTCGTCAGCTTAAAAAATATAAGTGAAAAACCAAAAAGAATGTATAGAGAAAAGTATGACACAGTAATATAGAAAGGTTGAGTAAATGACAGTTTGTAACATAATGTGAAATTAAGAAATGCCATGCAATGTCTTTTACATCCTACCATTCAGTAAAGGAAATCAATATTTTACCAATATCAGTGGTTAAACGAAAATGAACATTAAAGTTTGATAATAAAAAAGCTCAAGTGGATAATAAGCTGAAATTTTAATTTCAGCTTATTCTAAAAGAAGAATTGAAATTAAAATTTCAAGTTATCAATCTGCTCAATCTATATATTGATGATAAAGAATTCATTTCTCTCGGACATAATCTGCGAATTTTTTTAATAAAACTTGCACATCATAATTAAAAAGACACAGTTTCATCTACTGCTGTTTGTATGATTTTAGAAATAAGAATGTACTTACTAAACAAGTCTCCAAAAACCTTGCCAATGATTGACCTAACTTTGTTTTAGCCTTAAAAACGTTCAGAAGTACAGAAAAACAGACCAGACTCTTGTTATAGAATTATTCTAAAATCCAATATCTCTTGTTAAAATCTATTATCCGAAGTGAAGAAATTGTAGAAGAAGCTGTTAAGACTTTATTTATATCTTAGCATGAGTATTTGGAGAAAAATTCCAAAGGTGGAAATGAATTGGATTTATGCGAACATCTATAGCACTTGGAAATTGAAATCTTCAGCTCGATTCTAGTTGAAGCAGAATCAGCAGTGGATAAAATGGACAAGAATGCGGAAAATGATACAACAGCATGATGTAAGAAGACAGGATTGAAGATCTGGTTTCAGTTTTAATGCACGTCACTGAATTGATAGTCCGCTGTCCTCCTTCCCATTTTTAAAGAGCGCTGATGAGATGAGTAAATGTTGCTCTCCTGCATACACGCACATGGAGACGACATGAATGGAATGTGACAATCTTAATTGTTTTCCCATTTTGCAAACAACCATTGACCTTTGGCCTTCTCGAAAAACTGCAAACGTGTTTCTCAAATCTTAAAACAAATAAAGAAGTGAACCACCGGTCATGCTAAAAATCTTTAAGCTATTTCTCGATCGTTGCAACATGTCTTTCTGAAAGTCTTTTCAATAACTTGCAATTTAAGGATGGAAAATTTTTAAAAAGAAGGAATCTGTAAGGGCATGAAATCAGCAGCCTCACATGACACTTTTTAATGTCTAAATAGTTCCTCATCTACCAGGGCGCTGTATCATATTAAAGAAGAGAGTGAAGAAAGCATCCTCTGCGCATGACATCTATAAAAGTTGTAAAGGCTTAAATGCAATCAATATATTAGAATGCCTTAGCAAATACGGCATAGTGAAACTCACAGAGTTATTGCTACATAGGTAATTCTTAAGTTGAAAAAGCTCGAAATGACTTCCATTATCAGTGCTTTACTGGCAAAATGTGTATTTGGTCACACAATACATAGAAACTTTGCCTGATTGAGATTAGTAGTGAAATTCGTGATCTTTAATGAAGCAATCACAACTTCTTAATGAAACCGACGATGAAATACTAGATGAAATATGAAAATCGAAAGTTTTAAGGAAGACCAAAAAGTTGGCAAAATTATACTAAGAGCAAAAATAAACAAACATTTCAGTGTTTGCTGTTGAAATAATGAGAAGCCACCAAACGGGCAGTAAACCTTCACAAGAGCTTTTAAATAATTCGAAATCAGTAAATAAAAAAGTAAAAGTAAAACGATGTAAACACCATTTCCGAGTGACTGGAAGAAATTGGGAACCAATTTAGGAACTTCGTTTCTAATTCAAGAAAACATTCAACAATAACAACAAAGCATTCAAATGACTATTCAGCACATCCCTTAATCACTTAATGTCCTTTTTAAATTACAGAATTCACGATTTCCTCTCCTCTTTCTTTTTTTTCCAAAAGCTTAATGTCATCGGATTTCTAAAATTTTAAACTTTATTTTAGCAAAAGAAAAAAAAAGTAATTTATACTTCCTTTTGGCAAAAACTATACTTTCACAATTTCATAAATAAATATAGATAGAAATATTGCTGATAATAATTAATATTCCGTAAGATTCAGTAAGTCCACAGTTGCACAACCTCGAGCCGAGTTTAGTTAAATTTAGCAGAAGATTCCTTATACCTCAATTCTTAACTATGAATTAAACACACATTTTAAAAATATGTCGCAGTTTAGAAAATTTTCCCCTTTTCATTATATGTAAAACAGAAAACTTCCGTCAAAAAAATGAACTATGTAAAACAACATAACACCTCCGAATACTTAATATTGCGTACTTACCAGAAATTTCACACCCAAATCCTTCACAAAATTACGTAAATTTTTGAACAGCGTTCAAACCGTCAAAGCAATAGCAATAAATCACCGATGACAGGCGAACATAAATCTTGCATGGGAATGCATTTGGATTTCTTGAAGTAAATCATACGATTCGACTGTCCTGCACTGCCTAACATACGTAACAGATTTTTAATTTTCTTGAAGCTTTCAAGAACATTGCAAAGAGATATCAATGAAGATTTCCATACAAACGTCTCCTCAAATAGCTAATGTAATATACCGCTTAATAAGTTGTTATTTCACGGCAATAAAGGAGTGACACAGGTAATCTTTATACGTTGTAATAAAAAGTGCAATGTCAAGGGCAGTTGCAATTTTAAATCGAAAATGAAATGCATAAATGTTGAAGTCGAACTTTGATTTTAATGCCACTGAATCAGATGCTTAGTAGAAGAAATATAAATCAACACCGGTGATTTGTGTTAAAATATATTTAGTAAAATTTAGTAAAAAATATGAATGTTAACTACGATAAACACTAATAACTTTTAATAATTTAGAATTTACAGCCCAAAGGTGAAAGTGAATAAAGTCATATTTAAAAGATAGGAAACGACAAAAGTTCCATAAACAAGAAAAAATATCATAAACAATTTTGAAATTTAGGAACGATTCCCACTTTTTCTTCCACTAGAACCTTTTTACCAGCAGACTGGAATGGCGTGATTTAAAGACTTCATCTTGGGTTTCCTTTCTAGATACCGATATGTAGCTAGGCTTAATATAAAGTCGTTTTGTCGGAAAATAAACAGAGTAATGAAAAATCTAGTGGAAGATACACCGTCCAGCATTCAAAATTTGGGAAACTCGTAAAGCATCAATAACAATTGCATAAGGACTACATGAATATTACAACTATTGAATAGTTCCAACTAATTATAAGTAGTATTTGTGAGGATCATAATCATCAATAATGGAAATTCTAGAAATATTATGTTACTCGCAGCGATATTCGTAAATTTTCAGTCGTTACTGAAGTCGACTTTACCACAAAATTGCTCGTTTTGAGCCTGCATTTTCGGTAGTATGATTTTCTGCAATGTAAAGCAAACCATGAAGTGACAGATGACAAGTTTGCAGACCTATTTTACAAAGAATATATTTCACTTACAGATAAAGTTTTCGGATCACATTGTTCCAGTTTACATTCTAATTCAATTCCTGGAATAGTATATAATGGGGGTGTAATGAACTCATCGAGACCTTCACAACTCCGTCTTTCATTGTCGCTACCTTTACTTATTGCTATTCGTTCTCTTTCTTCTAAAATAATAGAACTCAAATGTGAAAATAAAAATGAAAACTGTTCAGATTCCTGCTAAATAGAAAAAGTCATATCGTACATTCTTGGATTGTTGTTTGAAGTTTTTTCTTTTTTTTAAAGTTACAAGTAGTTCACGAAATTTTCACTTATTATTACTTATTTTTAGGAAATCGTCTTTTGACATCACAGTATTATGTGCACCACTTGTAAATTACAAAATATTTTTGAAAGATCGAAAGCAAAAACTGTTTTATTTTTTTTTTTATCCAGTCCCAATAGCTGACCAAAAAACTCGATGCTTCTGCATTCAGTTCTTCTGTATTGTTGTAGCGGTTTCCGTTTTGATTGAGCATATTGCGGCAGCATCTTTCCAGAGAATGTAGAGTCTTCACCGGAGCAAAATGATTTCTCCATTTCTTCACCTATGCTTTTGGCATCGAATGTAACAGTATTTATTGAAAAAGCATTTCATTTGTGGTTTTTAAATGTTTCCTGAAGCTAAAAATTGTTTTGAAAACTTTGAAGATTAAATGCTAAAACTGTAATATGATTACCAGATTTAATGGAATGGAAGTCTTTACTTAATGTATCGTCAGCAGAACATTCGTATTGACCAACTATTTTAGTCTGTTCTTGTTTAGATCCATTAGCATTTGATTCGTTATCTTGAAAATCACTAAAAAATATGTGGTAAGAAAAAAATATTGATGAATAGAAAATGAATAGAATTTACACCTGCGAGCCATAAGATTTCAATTATCTTTCGCCAATGAAAATAATAATTGTCTTATTTAGATCAATGGAGGTGCAATTTGCAAATTAATTTTGGCATACTATCTATATTTCAGCGTAACGAATGGCATAAATGACAAATTTCTGAACTACTCAAAGCTGATAAACCTGCAATACTTTGGATCGAATTTCAAGTTTTTAGTAAAGAGTCATCAAACCTCATTTCTCGGGAAATAAGAAAAACATAATTCAGCATTAGTCAGCATTGTCAGTTGGGCAATTCATTTATATCAATTCAACCTTCAGGGACTGATTGATTTAGTGTTTAAACTGTCAAGTTAAATTTAAATAAATATTTTACTATAAAGGAGATCTGGCTGTTTAGCAAATCACTTTGCCTAATTCATTAATTTGAAACATTCTACACTATTACACCTAAAAAGTTTTTGAAGTGAAAATCGAAAACTTGCGAGAAATAATCGCTTCGCCGGGCTGGAAAGGATGATTGATGAATGTCTGAACTTTGCTGATCATTGTCCTAAAAGTCCATGATTTCTTTATAGCAAGTAATCCGTCACCCAAATTATAAATATATATATATAAACATTATACTAACTCATGATTTTGCAGAATTCAACTATCCAAATTCAAGATATAGTCTCAACTAGATGTATTATTTAGTTCTCGGATATAAATCAGTTAAAACGGAAGAAAAATTAATGTAATGCATTAAAAAAGTGATATAGCAGATCTTGAACCAAATAAAAATCACTGTGTCTAACAAATAAAATACTTTTTTAAATATTTTATCTTGAGATACTTTTTTGCTTTTAGTTCCAACATTAATTTCATTCAGTATATAATCGAGATTCTATATGCGAATTGTATCGTGAAGAAAATTATTAACAACAACAATTTTAAAATTAACAATTAACAATCATCTTAAAATGACAACTAATGACCAGCAAGGGTAGATAGCATATTGCAATTTGTTCAAATTACTTAAAGTACAAACTTCTCCATCATTTTCATCGCTTTCATCCGAATTTTTTATTGTAAGTTCGGCGAGGACTTGTCGAGTAACTTCTTGATTTATTTCCTGCATTACATTTTGTGAAATTTGCCAACATGTTGCTTTGTCTTCATTGATCGGAATATTTTCCTGTAATAATCCCACTATTGTTTATTACTTACAACCATAAATATTTTCTTATTCTTGGAAGTTAGCGTCTTTGTTTTCATTGAAAAAAAGTTTTTATGTACGGACTTTTCACCCCATCACTGGCTAAAGAATTTGACATTTTGCATAGTACTTAATACTGAAAACGAAACACATATCTGTTGATAGATGATGATCCAAATATGGAGATGAAAAAATTATCCTAAATACTTTTTGAATCCAATTAAATTCTGGAAATTCAAATCATTACTCATACTTTATTCCAATTCGTCTGATCATCATCGTCCAGTGTCATATTTGGATTAGTTCCTTCGGTAAACTGCAAAATTAAAAACCATATTTTATCACAGCACAAGATGAACGATTTACTGTTGAAACATACCGGATAATAAAAAAGAGACTTCGGGAAAATAAATAAGGTAAGGTAGAAAAATTCATAATGTTTTAATAAACTATCGAATATAACTGCTGTTCCATTATTTTTGCTATTATTACCGTAATTAAATCAAAATAGTTGTAATAACAGTAGTAACGATAATAAAGATATTAAAGTTATTAGTGCGGGAAAAATATGATCCTTAATTTACGATTAAGGATCATAGTTTTCCTTATATATATTTATATATGTTATACTATCACTATTCTACACATTTAGAGATCGAAAAGTTCAGAAAACCAAACAAGCCAGCTCATTTTCACGCTCCTTCAATAGTACGACAAGAAATATGAAAAATGTTTGGCGCCTTTTTCAAGAGAGAAGCAGGATTTGTCACCCTCCTCGCTATGGTTATGGTTTGTCAAACCCTTTCCGATCAAGTCTTGTCATCTTTCTCCTTCTATCACTCGTTCTCCTACAACTTAGAAAAAATTTCTTTCATTACTAGCTACTTCCTTATATAACAATTGTCAGCAACGCAGCAGCTTAAGTTCCACTAACTTCTGGCTTCTGACTTCCAAAATGTTAAGCTCTGTTCACAATTAATTTCAAATGCAGTTTGATTTCTCGTCGTACCTTTCACTTCTACTACTTTTCTTTCTCTTCTTTAATTAATAAAATTAAACTGAAGCAAAAGAAGTACTTGGCTTCTTCCAGGAAAGATAATGACAGAAAATATTTTCAATCAGCACCATTATAATGCCATCATTCGAATGTAATTAATAATATTTCAAACAGTCATTGGTAATTAGGCCCTACATCATTTTTTTTTTTCGAAAAAGTCTCAGTGGGGTATCTACAGAGACTTCAGAAAACTTCATGACTCATGTTTCATGTAATTTACTACACTTATCTTGTCATGAATGAGACAGCAAGAATTATCAGTTGTTAGGGAAAGGGTTAATTAATTCATCATGGCTGTGAAGAAGGACGTTCCTATTCATCTCTGCTAAAACAATAGATGACACTTGCTTGAATCATCTTGTCGTGGAGTGTCGCATAGCAGATGTTGAAAAAACATAAATCAAAAATAGGTTGGCAGAAATGTTTGTGTACAATCTTTGCTACTTCAGATATTCATTCTAGCTAATCTTAAAGTATCAACAAAGAAGCTCGCACATAATATCCAATCAATTATACTTACATGATCATTACCGATGACTAATATTGAAAGGTTATGAAATTAGTTATATGCTATCAATATATGATGAACTCTTCCGTATATGATATTAGGCGTTATTTCATTTTGATATTAGCGGGTGATAGTTTATAGAAGAATTAATGAGGAAGGGATAACTTTTCCGGTAGTACCAGTTGCAGAATAGATTTACATAGTAGCAATGAATTGCAATTAGAAAGCAATATCGAGAATGAAGGATGTTGTGACTTATCTGAAATGATTCAAACAACATTTATTATGCTAATTATGGACATTAACCTGATTTGTATTTATGCACAAAAAAAAAGAATAAGGAAAGGAAGTGAATTATGTTTCAACCATTCATATAATAGCAAAAGCAGAGACGTAAATTATCGGAGTCTATTTTCAAAGTGGTGGATGACAATAGGTTGGCATGTGAATCTTCTTCCTTCGGGAATGGATAGCATTTTGTTGATATCATTAATAGCCAATTGTAAAGCTATAATGCTAGCTTTAGAGTACTAAGACGAACCAAGAACCTTTTCTGAAACAATCACTTACTATTTACACACGCCAATGTCTGACTGTAATGACAATAAAATGGATTGCTAAACCACCGATCAAATTAACTTCCGAAATTTGAAGTGCAAATTAATTTATCAGTTGTTAAATTTGTAGAACTTTCCGAATAATAATTACCAAAGGGATGATTACTGCAAACGAAAAATCATTTCCATAAGGTTTAATTAAATATGCGAACAGGGAAGAGTAAAGAGTATTTGAAGTCAGTGAAAAAGGAAGTCTAGGTGGATAGAGAACGGTTGTATAGAATGGTACCAATGAACAATTCTGGAGGGAAAACAGAGAAGATGACAAAGAGGAAAGCATTGTAGAATTGGAAGCTGATCGGGTGGGTGTAACATCATATTGACCAGTGATATCAATACCACTCTATTCTGTTCGACACAACCCCTCGTGCGACCCAACTGACCCTTCCCTCTCTCTTCATCTTGTCACCTAGAACACCTTCTACAATCAGCTATCACAGGTAATAAATGCTGTCAACCTTGATGTCCTTACAATGATGAGAAATGATGCACATCAATTAAGCCCACTCAGCAAGAACATTTTGACCAGCACAATATGAGCAAAACTTTTATTCCATAGCAACACATTTAAAATGCTATATATAAACCATCACATCCAAAAAGTTTCAACCTATTTGTTAAAAGCTAAGAGTGCACTTGCTCAGTTTTGGAATAAAAATAATCTAAAAACTTCTCAAAATACTGATCTCAAATTACATTTCTGAAATTATTTTACCGTATATTACGGGGATCCATCGTTTATACTGGAAATTCCGTGGCGCTGAAAAAAATAAGTAAATATTCAAATGCACATAACAAAGTTGACTATTCAGAAAATAATTTTATAGATCGACAGCATCAATGAAGTACGAAAATTTAAGTGAATTAAGATTATCAGAAACTTAACAACGAGAACATTGCTGAAAAATTGGAATGAATAGTGGGACGAAGATGTTACGATCAACTAATTATATTAAGAATTAAAGTCAAGATTAAATCAAGTTAAAGATTTAATATGGGCACACCATGAAGACTACCAACGATTTTTTAATTAAAGTTTATAACGAGGTAATATACCTGTAACACAAAACCAAAGATAACCCCGGCAACGAGGAACGAAATACGAATAAGCCAACCCGGAAATGAACTGGGTAATGGACGTCTTCGTTCTATTAGCAGTTTCAGGTATTTAAATTTTTTGTCGGTAAATGGCGGATATCGCATGCTAAAATTAATAATGCACTATACTTTGAAATGTCTAAAATTAGAAGAATGTTAATAGTTACTAGAATTTAAAGAGCGCTATCAAAATATGCACTAACAATTATAAACTAATATCGAATTAAGAGCACCTTAATTCTGAAATTTCTATGAAAATTTTGGAATATCTTACTATCAGGTATTAAGGAAAAAATCTACTGAGAAGAGTTTTGCAAATGCAAAAAGTATCAGAAAGCAAAATATTGCTTGCACAAAACTTACGCAAACAAAGCATCAGCAAAGAAACCCCTTATCAGCAATGCTTTATGGTTAGTAAATGTATCGAAACCAAATTTGCCACGATATCTGCCCATACCACTTTGGCCTACACCGCCAAATGGAAGCGTATCAACTATAAAATACATAAATTTGAAAGAACCATTAAAATTCAAATAAATTTCAAAGACGTAGAACGCATAGAAATTTTTTTCATATTTTTTGATCGTATAGATCAGGTATTCAGCAAAACTTACTGATAAATTGAAATGTAACATCATTGACAGTCACAGAACCACTTGACGTTTCTGCATATAACTGTTGCACTTTCTTTTCAGATCCGGTAAAAAGATATACAGCAAGTGGCTTTTCTCGTGATCGAATAAAGCTGACTGCTTCATCGAAACCACTGGTAGTAACAATCGGCAAGATGGGACCAAATATCTAAATATATATAGATATCAAAAATTCACTCGATAAAATAGAGCATATAAAAAAAAATATCTCGAAAACAGGAGTATGGAAAGAGAAAGAGAAAAAGCAGACTTCGTTTTCCATCAGCACATCATTTGCAGATACAGCAATTATGATTGGAGGAATAAACAAGTCACTGCGGTTGAGTTCGCCACCTTTGTACAAAATTTGTCCACTGCTACGTGAAAGCAAACTGGATAGTCTACTGAAAAAAAAGCTTAACATTAAAAAATAACGGGCAAATAAAACGGCAGAAAAACACACAGTAAAGCTGACAAAATTTTTTGTGAAGATCCTATAAAATCTCGAAGCAAGAATTCTTTCAATAACATACTCAAAGTGTTTCTCATTGATGATACGGCTGTAATCTTCGCTTTTTTCAGGCTCCGTGCTGTAAAATTCTTTTAGTCGTTGGATGAATTCATTCACTAGTGTTGTTTTTAATGTTTCCGTAACAAGAACATAATCCGGTGCAATACAGGTTTGTCCACAATTAGTCCACTTTCCCCAAACAATACGTCGAGAGCTTACTTCCAGATTTGTATCACTTTCGACGATTACTGGGCTAAAAGTAAAACATAGTTTGGCGCTGGAATAACATAACTGGACGAACGAAAATAGAATATTTCAAGGAGAAATTTAATATTTATATCAACTGGATGATACAATATTATCCTTGAAATCGATCAAAATTTGCTATTTAGTAAACAGTTTCAAAATATAAACTGGACCTTTTTCCACCCAGTTCAAGTGTAACTGGTGTAAGATGCTGCGCAGCCGCCGTCATAATAATCTTAGCAACAAGTGAATTTCCGGTGTATAAGATATGATCAAACTTCTCCTTCAACAGATCCGTTGTTTGAGCAACCCCACCATTCACTACCGCCAAAAACCTCTGTAATTTTCCATTCAAATAAAGTATTCTAGAATTCAAGAACACTGAACTGATACCCCATATATAAGCAAATCACTGTTCTTTATTAACTTCATCCATCCCAGAATCTCTCAGGACCTAAAATAATACCAAATTTTTTCAAATTTAATAGCTCACCGAATCAAAAAAGTGTGAAAAAAGATCATGTAATGCTGCAGACGTAAAAGGTGCATATTCCGATGGTTTCACTATCACCGTGTTACCTAAAACTTACAAAAATAACGATAATGTCTGAAACAAGGTGTGTGATATCCCAGGAAAGTGGTCACATTAAATGAAGGCTTGAAGATGCTAGTATGCAGATAAAATTACACTAAAAAATCAAGTAATCTTTAACCCATATATTAATTCCAGTACTCCGAAAAAAAAAAAAAAGTAAAACTTCATTTTGCAAGAAGGGAAAATGACGCTGTTCAAGTTGTAGTAAAACTTTTCAATATCCAAGACTATTATTCAATAACTCACCGGCAGCCATTGCTGCAACTAAAGGTAATAAAACAAGGCATAACGGATAGTTCCATGGAGCAATGATAAGGACCACACCCAGTGGCTCCTTGACAATAGCTACGGTGTCTAGAAGAGACAAGAAAGTTTTTCTGACCTGAAAATTTTCCCAACACTTCGGAGTATGGAAAAAAATGAGGAGTAAAATTGCACAAATGTTTATCTGTCGCTATTCTTAGACATTTTATTACCCGGACTTTTTGAATTCATAACTTACTGGTTCAGGTGAACTCCATTGCTTTAAATTATCCACCATATAATCGATCTCGACGAAAACTGGACTTAGTTCCATGCTATGTGTTAGTTTTGGTGACTGGAAAAAGTTGATATAAAAGAAAAAAGTTGATGTTACAGAAGACATGAATTTAAAGGATGGAAGAATGGATAGTAAGCAACACAACAATGACGTCCATAAAATTAGTTTCGGAATCTATACATCTAGTTTAGGGTTTTCGGCTTCATGTAGTACTTCGTGGTACTATAGAAGAACAACTTTTCCCAATCAGGGTTCTGTTATATGATGACCTAAGATTGCAGTATCTCAAAGCTTAAGAGAAAAGCAAAAACAAACAATAAACAAATAAACACAGAGGAAAATTAAATTATTTGCACGAGATTAACTCTTTCTTTTAAATTAGCCATAAATTCTTGATGGAATTTGTCATATTTTAACTTACTCGTTTAAGATCGTTGTACACAGCTTTGGTAAGAACATCACCCTCCTCAGTCAGAAGCTGCTTAAGATTTAAAAGCTGCTTCCGACGGTGTTCCAGTTTAGCAGTAATCCCCGAAAAATAATAGGCTCTTTGCTCCTCTACTAACTGTAATAAAACAAACGCAAAGTAATCCAAGAAAAGCAACAGAGAAAAGCAAAACTTCAAATAATGTAACTGAAACTTCTTCAAACAGAAACCTACTTCACAGTGCAACAAGTGGGACATACCTGATGATAAGGAGCACCTTGATGGGTTACTGCTGCCATAAAGCACTCGCCAGAATTACTTTAACAGCACACCACAGTAGTATCTCTGAAATTGGAGAACTGCAACGTCTCGACCCATTTCTCTCGTTTAGATCTGAGAAATCCGGGTTATGAAAGTCCTATTAAATGTTAATGAAAGTATCAAGATATTCCTCTCATCCTTTCAATACCCCTCAACCTTCTTTGATATCTGAACAAAAAACAAATCACATGAGAGAAAAGAGACTCCCAGTTTAAGATCACAATTAATAACACTACAATGACTGAAAAGACTGAAGGAATGAAGGAGGTATCTAGAGGTTGCATACACTTCGCTTCACACTGGGAAGAAAAAAAGAGACTGATTTAGAGAAGAACGAGAGGTATCATATAGTATTACTGTGACAAGTTCTGTAGTGTCTTATGAAGGATATCTGTAGCAAGGCTTAGAATAGCCGGTGTGAACAAGAATATATGGCCAAGCTGACAATGACATGCACAGCAGAATGAATTCCCTGAGTAGGTATTCCGGAGACATTCCGGAGTTCTAGTGTGGGCCTCACTATGATCCATTCTCTTCAATAAAACAGGAAACATTACGAATGCATTAGCTTCACCTACATTGGCTTAGAAAGTCTGGAAATTTCATACGAAAAGTTGGCAGATCGATAGAGAAGGCAATGTTAACAATAAATAGAAATGTTTATATTTGGGGAATGCGTTTCGATATGTTGCCAAATGGGTAACCTCATCATTCTCGTTCAGCGTTGCAGTCGTTAAAATAATGAGACTTTGAAAGGGAACCGGCTGAGTGTTTAGTCATAACTTGAATCAACAGAAGCACATCGAATGTTCAGTTTATAGCAAAATCTTCAACACAGTACTGAAGAAACTTCAAATGTATGAGATCTTTCAGGATGATGTAAGGTTAATCAGTTGTCTCACATGATTGATGTGAACTGAGGGAGAAAGTCGACGACAGTCATTCATTGATAGAAACGGTAGTTCCTTTAGCATGATATATTAATACGACAAGTTGTGGAGACTGTAATGGAGCAAAAATAATAGAAATATGTCAAGAAAAAAGAAGTCTTAATTCTTTAAGGGAATAACAAATAAATATAAGACAGTGTAATGGGAAAAGTAATCTGTTCCGAGCTGAGAAATATGGAAAAGAGTGCTACTAACTGTATGAGTAAGTAATCAATCGTCCAGTCACTCATTCGGTCGGTACTTAGGACGAACCTCAGTGAAACACTGAAAAATAAGGTAGTAGTGACAATGGGTCGTGCAGTGCATCTCTCCAGTACTCTGCAAGTTGGTTTGCTACATTTGCTAATGAGAAAGACGGAAATATTATTAAATCACGGGGAGTTACGGTGTTTGAAACGGGAGAAACGTTAGAGGACAATGTTGTTTGGTGAGAAACGTTAGAGGACAATGTTGTTTGGTGAGAAACGTTAGAGGACAATGTTGTTTGGTGAGAAACGTTAGAGGACAATGTTGTTTGGTGAGAAACGTTAGAGGACAATGTTGTTTGGTGAGAAACGTGAGTTGAAAACTATTGAAAGCAAGGATGAAGTGATACCGGTTATAACTGAGTTGTTAGATGTTGAAGACGAACACTGAAGGTTATGTTATAAAACATTTGTGAAACGCAAAATTACTAGGTAAAGATTGCAGCAAAGTCTCGTCAGTCCTATACTAATATTAATCGATATATGATTGGTAATATTAAGAATATCTGGCAGGATGGTGGGAACAAAGAGCAGACGAAAATTTGGGTGCTTTGGGACTGTGTAACTGATAGGAGATTTGAACACTTCAAATCTTGAGATCTTAACAGAAAGGATTGTCAAGAAAAAGGTAGAGAGTTGAAAAGATGAAATGCTACAGTCTAATCAGAACAACTGAAGATAAATACACAAGTTCATTTTTTGGAGCATAACAACATGTTGAATCACCGTGATTTGCTGTTCGCTTCAAAATTGCATGCCAGGTTCCGTAAATGTTGCCTCGAAATCGACACCAGCACTCAATAATGCAAACATTATCAAGCAAAAGATGATAAGGAAGACTATTCCAGCGATAATTATGCACGCCGTTGTGGGTGAACCTTCCAGTGAACAACAATAGCATCTGAAACAGACCCATTTTTCAGGGAATTCAACACTACTGCAGAACTGAAATGGTAAGGTTCCGGTTTACGGAGGACAGTAAAGATGATAATGGTAAATGGTAAAAGAAAATTTAACACTGCTTCTCCTTGCTCCTAAATAGAATAAAAGGCTATGCAGATCGGATGAATAACAACATATCATTTACTCGTCCTCTTTGAGGCCAGCTTTGATCATTTTCCTGGCACGTCTTCTCAACCGCTCCTTTCTAGTTAAATTCCTCTTATCAGTGCCATACATTGATATGTCATACATCGATACGTTACCCAAATCTCCCATTGTCTATAGATAACATGTGTGACAAATACTCTTCACATAGAAAATCTCGAATTGCTATTCCATCTTCAAATTCCTTGCATTCATCATTTTGACATACGAGATACTTTTACCACTCCAAGTATTTTTAATTTTTTTCAAAGAAAAAAAGCATACGCGATACTTTTACTACTTCAATTTTTGCTTACCGTGTCTCCCATTACGGAACTGAAAAGAATGAATTAGTAGTATATCTTCAAAATCCTTTTCATCTTAATGTTTTGCAACCACTTATGTTCTTTTTCTCTTACATATATTTTAATAAATCTAACAATCATGAACACAAGAAAAATTCCTTTTTTTTTTTCTTTTTTGAATATTCTGCTATAGTTACCTAAAGTCAACAATTTATAACTTGAAAAGAGCTCTATGGCGATCAAAAAAAAAAAGCATAAATTCAAAATCAGTCTACCAAAACGAAAATAACTTTGATTTTTAATTTATCGCATCATTCGTCTTAAAATTTTCTAACCATTTTATTGAATTTAATTTTCAACTATTTTATTCGAATTCAGTTCTTAAATTTGTGATAAGAATGAACACATCACTAACGTCATTATTTCACTTGATAAATGCACTCTTCTTTTTATTAACTCTGAAATATCTGATAAAATATTTTTAAAAGAAAACAGCTAACTAAAAAAGAATAAAGCTAAATCCCATAAACGTGTACAAAATGCTCACGTTTTTCTGTCCACGGCCGAATCTAACGTTCACGTCGTTACAATTAAGGAAAGATTATTAAATAAAATAAAAATGACCCTTTTATATTATAGATAAAAGGCTATACTGTTATCAAAATTTGCTATTAAGCCTTTTTCATTTTACGAAATAAATATGCAAATTATAAGCATAAAATGGAATAAGTGGAGATTGCCAAAAAAACCGAAATAATTTTTAATACAAATTGGTATGTTATTGTTATAATTAAGATATCTCGAAATTGGTAAAATAAGGACGTTGGTAAAATAATGAACATTTGAATAGAAGATAATAAATCTCAAATTTAACTTGAAAAATTATAAATAAGGTGGTAAGTCATTATTTTTCACTTTTTAAGCCATCAATGAAAGTGTTTCGAAAGAATTCTTTCATTTGTAATGGTTTAGAATGCAAATAACTTCTAGTCAGACAGTGAAATTTATTTGCAGTTACAAACTATCGTAAACAATTGCGTTATATAAAGGAGAAATAATTCATAGATTATTCCAACAACTTATTCTCTTTCGACTTACAGTAATTGTGCACTTCATCAAATTCTCATCTACAACAATCTCAACCTACCCTAACTTATTCTTCTGTGGACGAAAAAGAGCAACTTGACTATGAATTCTCTAATTATTATTATAACATTTATAAGCAATAAAATTCCCTTTAATTATTCAAAAAGGACTTATTTCATTACGTCGAACGAAGCAAAAAACTTCCGTTATGGAAATAAAAAGAAATGAAAGTAAGCTTCACAAATCAATATTCCATTTTTCTTTTTAAGTTCTTTGATTAGTTATTTGTTTATTATGATTATGTTGACTTTCTTTGATTTTTTTACAACTCATTTGTAAAAAATAATTTATCTGAAACATATAATAAATCCAGCCATTAATTTATTTTCGATATCATTATATAGAAGTGAAAAAGCAAAAAGATTTTGTATCATTTAATATCCAGTTTTTTAGTAATATATAGTATTTTTCCGTAAACTACTACAAAACATTCCATAATGTTTACCTATGTAGTAGATATTAATGAATATAAATAAACCAACATTAAATTATAATTCAAGTTAAAATTTGGAAAAGTTTTTTGCTGAAAAATTTGTTAAGCAAAATTTTTAGAGTAGTCTTACCCAAATTCACTAAACTATAATGTTTGCAGAGAAGTAGCTAAATACAGGACTTCTAGGAAAAATTTGCTCAACCACCTTATTTTAATTAATATGGAATGTCTGTTTTTAGTCAACTGCAATATGTAAATCGGTTGCTAGTATATTTGTAACAATATCCAGTGAGGTGATCTAATTAGATTTGATGATATCACAAAAATAAGGTGAGAGTGATGAATTTATAATAGTTCAGTCACTCCCATACATTAAACAATTTTTACATTGTCACATATTATGAAACATTTAGCCATAGACAAAACGCAATGTTCGAAACTCATCCATTTGAGCTCGATTTTCCTGAAAAAAAAAATAGACTGGACTTGAGATATATTCTTAAATTACATCAAAACATCCATGACTCATAATATATATATTAAAATTTTCAACAATTTCCACGTTAATATTGGTTGTTATTTGATAAAATGTAAATTTTGAGTGTCTTCCTTTATTTTACAATTCAATATTAACATGTTTCAATGCACTAGAAGCTTCTTTAAGGTCGAAAATAAAAAGAGTGAAACACAAAAAAAGAAAATAAATAATTTCTTACATAAGTACAAATTTTCCAAATATATTGAATTATGATGAAAAAAGGAAATTCATTTTTTTCTTTTATTATTTTCATCTTAAATATTTCGATCTTAAAAAGTGCATTGAAACATGTTAATACTGAAGCAATTAAAATGTGCATCAGCACGCAAATTTCCTGTATTAAATGAATACGTCTAGTATGTTCACTGGAAACAAAGAAGTCAACTCATAATTACCGACTAATTCTGAATTGATCTGAAAATTAAAAAGTGCTAAACAACCAAATTGAATATTGTTCAAATAAGATAAACAACCACGACACGGGTGTATACTAAATGTCAACTCATAAATAAAGCAGCAACAAAAAACGTTTGACAAGAATATCATACCGTTAGAGTCATTATGTTCTGCATATAACGGATAAAATGGGCGCAAGTTTTCTTCAAAACTCATTTCGTAGCCAGACATTTCAATATTTTGCAATGGCTCTGGCCTAACATGTTTTGCAACTTCCTTTACAGGTTTCTTTGGTATTATATTCAAAGTAACATCTATAAAATAAAAAATTTATAAAATGTCAAACAGTATTCCATCTATCAAATAAAAAAAGAATTTAGGCTTATTCTATAGACTGCATTTTTGAAGGAAGTGCAGGAATTCAGTCACCATTCTACTGAAACTTTTAAAGGCTGACTTGTTTCAAGTTTTCCAAAGATAGGAAAACATTTCGATCAAACGTAACATTCTCCTTACCACTGCCTTTAATAGACTATTGTGATAGCTAATTGGAAGGGTTAATGTGAGATTTGAATTTAGGGCTTCCAAATGATGAGAATAATATTGAGTCTGATGTAGTAAGCTGTTATACTTAAATATATAATATTACTTAACTGCATAATTTTTGATTATTTCTGATTAGTCAATGCAACATAACTATATAATATAATAAGCAAACAGAAATCGAAAAGACACTTTTTAGATCTTCTAAAAGAGCATTATTTGTTTATGTTATGATTACTGAAAGCAGGAAAACTGGTGAGTATGTTCAATCATACTCCCACATGATCACATTCCATGGGCGTAATTAAATAATCTATGATGAGAATTTCTACTTTTTGCTGCCAGCAAGAACTTAGAAAAGAAACATACTGTTAGTATTATTTTGTGAAAGCTGCTCATTCTTGAAAAAGCTCCTTGCACTTATTGATGGAAGTACTGCTTTTTCGGCATCAATTTTATTTTGAGCTATGTTCAAAAACTGATTGTCTGCACATCTATTTTCAAGATACACTGCTGCTGCGTCCTCTATGAACAATTCAGGCACATCAAAACGATTCTGCGACGAGATGATACATTCCTGCATTTTCAAATCTCCAATATAAACTTTAATAAATTTTTAATTTTACTACAACTAGAAAGTAACTAGTTAAACGAACTTTGGCCTACTTTCTCTTTTGGATAATAAATAGCTGCTTTGCAAAAGACATTGTTTTGAATTAATGAAATAGCACAAGCTTTCCGACATTGCATTCGCGATACATTCTCATAGAACTCGTCAACAACACCAACTAATACTCTGCCGTGAAATTCTTTAAAACACGCTTTTGTAAGAAGTATCGTTTGAACTTCCGTACGACCTGCAAAGTTCCCGTCAAGGTAAGATATAACTTGAAGTGCTCTATGACCCAATAATCTATATATTTAGTGGTAAAACATAAAAATTCGATGTGGAAGCGTAACAATGTCTATTAAAATGTCGAGGTCTCAGAAAAAACTGATACAGAATCATGTTCCAAATGTAAAATTATCAAAATAAGCAGATGATATAAAAAAGTTCATGTTCAAAACACTAGTAAAATAACTTACGTCGACATTTTCTAAAAAAGTTTATTGTATCGTGATCGCTGAATTCATCCCTTTCGATTTTCTGACCACTTATAAGTAAACAAAGATTTTTATTAGTAATATATATGACTGACCTAAATAAATCAAATATAAAACGACTACATTGGTTTCATATAAAACTCACGCAAAACCATAATCAGGCTAAGCCTCAATACTAGTTGCACAGTGCATTAAATGACCAAAGAATATTAGTAATTTAATAAAGATTTACATTTACAGTTGTAAACTCACGAGCACTGGCTGCTGCTTATTAGAAGACATTCTCGTTTGCACTGTTTTATATCAGCACGTAATGAAATATGCAAAACACCGCTAAATGAATGATTTGTAGGTTCCATATGACATTTTTGCTGCACTGTCCCTACATTTGTTGTAGCGCACACCAAAAATAACAACACTAACATATGTAACTGTAAAACACAGCATAACTGCTTCTTCAATAAAAATTATTAACAAAAAATTACTCTTGGACATGTCGAGACAGGACATTTCGTTAATTTCACTTCGGATTCAAAAACATTAATTCAAGAAACACAAGAAAAAGAAAGAACACCGATATTTTAAATAACCAGTTATTGTAAATACTAAAACAGAAACTAAAAACAAACAAATAGCAGCTGTTATGTCCTTCACCATCAAATCATAAATGTAGTACAAAGGCTGAGGAAAAACTAGACTATTTCTGAAAACGCGGACAACAGTACTGCTGTTTGCAATGTTTGCAAGTACTTATAGATAAAAGTGATTTCTACATCCTTGAACATTAGATCAAATTTGAAATTTAGAAAGACTATCATGTTTAACTGAAATAGTTTGCAAATGAATGACGAAATGCAGCAAGGATAAAGATTTTCTTTAGCAAGAATTTGTTACTGTGTAAAGTTTATTCGCAAAAGTCTGTTAAGTCTTCAATCTTATCCAGCGAAATCTGAGAAATAATTTCCCTCGCTTGCTTATTTTATGCTACGCAGTACTGCAAAATCAATTTTTGAATTTTATTATCAAATCCTTTACTAGCATTGTTAGAAAGTAGTACTCGAAGAAATAACTGATAAAGTGAAAAAGTGAGAAGTTATTTCTCGATAATGCTGCTAAAAAATAAACGGACATTCAAAGAACTCCTATGCCGAAAAAACTAATAAACTGTGCGAACCAACAGTAAAGTAATAAAATTTTTTATTGATGCGTCAAATGAAAGAATTTAACAAAAAACTCGAAAAGACTATATTTCGTCTAAACATTACAACTGTTTACAGTAAGAATAAAGAAACACAATTAATTTTAGCAATTCGCGCAGGCTATGTAGTTCCACTAAAATCAACTATACGTAGAATTAAGTTAGATCAACGCAAAAAAGGGCTTTCTGTTCGAAGGTGTATATATCAAGCTGAATCAAATGTCAGCGGCTAGTATCGATAGAAGCGGTAATATAGCACTGCTTGCTGTCAATTCGTCCAGAAAATGCAGTCGATCAACTAAATGTAAATATTTTATAAATTTAAATTAAATTTATTGAATTCAAAGTCTTAGTGAAGTAAAGATTGAAAAAATTAAGATTCATAGTAACTTGTAACAATAACAGAACAAGATATGCTAGGATTTAGTTTCGATAAGTTTAGTTAATGTTCTACAACAGTTGAAAATCTATTTCTATTTATAACGATGGGAAGGCATATGATAATCTTCTTTTAAAAAAGTAGAAAACTACAGATAAGTTAGGTTATATCAGGAAGCGAAGAAATTATGTAATAGTAACATGGAAAGCGTCGAAGATATTCATCAAGTAAGTGTGACTGTGTTAAAACTATTTCAGCAAGGAAATGTCGGCGCTGCACCATACTTAACAATTTAAATATTTCCAGCAGAGGTGTTAACAAACTTTCCACAATTCCACATCCCCATCGATAATACACCTGAAAATGCTACATCTGAACTGGATATTTCATTCATGATGAATGAGACGGTAAATGCTAGTTTTAAAAGCAGCGGCAATGCACTTAAAGTATTTTAATTATCCATATGAAAGGTCTAATAAAAAAAAAAGAAAGTCATTTCAGTCATTTCTCGTGGCAAATGTTTTAAGTTTGTACCGTCTTCATGACATGCAACATATGTGCAGCTTCTTTACAGTGTCCATAAATTATTCGATAATAAAGAGCAATCCGTATTAATTCTGGTCTCAGTAAGAGTAAGCTTGCAAAATTGTGAAATATCCAGACTTGTGGTGCACCTAAAGAATATTGATAATGTATTAAGACAAAGTATTATGAATGAATAACATTCAACTACATTTTTTGCTAAATTCTTGAAAGTTTTCACTTTAAATCTTTTAATAAGATATTCCAAGAAAGCCAATATATTGACTAATACTTGTTATTTCTTCCATTAAAGTGAAAATTTCAGAATCACTCCAGGAAAATTCCGACTTCAGTTCCATTGTTTTCACAAGACAACAAAGATTTGATGACAATGGCTTGATAATTTGGATGCACTGATTTCTGGTGAAAATTGTCTCTGAGAGCATATACCAATCAATTCGTCCTAAATCAATTTTATTTCCTATATGCTCAAACTAGGCTTTTTTCTACATTACTTTTAATATGAATTTATTTCAACTGGAATGAGTTATGAATTTCCTAATTATAATAACTTATTATGCACAATTCTTCCGCTTCCCCTTAGTGGTAAATCTTACAGTGAGTAACACAAACAATTTTTCAGAATGTTCCTCCTCATAATAAACTAATTATTTTCGTCCTGTATTATTTAGAAAACTCAATTTAAATTTATAACAAACCCTCGCCATGAATATATTTTACAGGGCCGAACAAGAGCATGAATAGTCGCCCTTGTTCTGCAACACTTTTCTGAGTGCGTAGAAGCACAGAAAGCCAAAATCCTTGCTCTGATTCGGACTCTGCTAGCTGATCAATGAAGAAACCATGAAATCGTTGTCGAATCTCGAAATATTTCATATTTGTCATAACGATAGCTATGGAACCGATGATACAGAGAAATCTATATGAAAATGACTGTTTGTTTCAGCAGAATGCTGAAAAGAAGAATAGAAAGAATAACTTACTTCCATTTCAAGTTGATAGTGCTTGCCAACTTTATCAGACATTACGACAGTAAGCAATCGTGTTAAATCGGTGAAACGTATAACGGAATCTAAAAATTCGCTGCATGCCTTACGATCCCAATTTTCGTAGAACTGCAAATGAATAAGATGAAAAAACCATAGATTCTGAAAAAAATCACTTTATAAACATAAAGCCATTTAAGCCATGACATCATGAAATAATGAAATCCTTACTCCGGAAAAACACTGTCCCCAAATTGTGTGACTGTCGACTGACTTATTCTGAAAAATGAGAACTGTTGTTTGTTCGGTTAATTCAGTTTAAAAATATTTTTAAGTTGTAGAAGAAATAGCTGAACGTTTGGAAACAACAATAGTATACCATCAAATAAAAATGACGCATAAAATTTCTTCTTTCTCGAGCAGGCCAAAATATTGTACACATCTTCAGCAAGTTTCCTGAAATGGTAGTATTCCTTCTGAAATTGATCTGACCGAATTTATTTAATAACTAGAACAACCATACTGATATCATGGAAAAGTATTAAATAACAGAAACAAAAAATTATTATAAAAGGTTTGAGAACAATTAATTACAAGTTTCTATCCTTAGGAAAAGCCATAAGAATAGAGAAAAAAAAGCCTTCTTAACAAAATAAAAATGCATAAACAGAAAACTGATTTCACTTTCAAAACTGTTCTAACCATTATTTGATTTAATTCATCAGCTAACACAGTATGTGATATTAAAGCTGGGTGGTTGAGGTTATTATATAAATCAAAAGAACTCTCCTAACGATTAGTAGTCACTACTAACATCATATCGATCTCCATAAAGATAATACGTCAAATCTAATCAGTTTGTCTGTTAGCTGCTAATGGTGTTCTTCACTAGAACTGAAAAAATACCCCAAGCATAGCTATTGCTTCGTGTCTTGCGAGACAAGCCTTCATGCTCCACGACTTCGCATTCAAATCTTGACGCATCAGTTAATATGTATTTGCAAATTGCATTATTAAGAGCGTGACATGTCAAGCTTACATACTTCAGTTCATGAACTAAAATTCGAGATATGACATCTTTTATTTTATGAATTAATTCAATTATATTACAATCTTATTTAGATTCAGTGCGTAAAATTGCAGTAAAATCTCATAACTTTTTCGGAAACCCAGTGAAGTCTCACAAAAGCGCAAAATATCCATCAAAGGAACCTATCATCCAACTACCGAAAAGATTACCTGAAAGGTAACGGAACACTAACTGGACGATTCCATCAGGTAAAGATATGTGAGATCCAATAGTGCCATCGAATAAGTACATAAATCCTCGTTCTGATCCATATTCCAGCAGTTCATTATTCTTGAAAATCATGATTAAATTTTCTAATAAGTAATTTGGATTCTAAATTGGTCATCATACCAACGTACACATATCTATCCTAGCTAGAAAATAGTGCATAAGGCTAAATCAACAGATGGAAAAGAAAACATATTAGAATTATCTGATACTATTCCTCCTGTTCTTAAAGCTTAACTTTAACAAGCAAGGCTCATATTGTACTCTTTAGTCCAATTTGTACCAAAGATGAATCTTGCCAAAACCTTTCATGATATGATTTGTAACCAAACATCAAAAACCTTATTCTGAATCAATTAATATAATATACTGATGGTACTATATATATAATACCATTAGTATACTTCAGTTTGCTATTAATGTTGAAGATAATCTTGAATTGAAACATTTTATGGGTTCTTTGCATGATATTAGAAAGATATTTTCAGCTTTTTCTAGCTTGCATTTGTCAAAATTAAAAAAAAAAAAAGTATAATGATAATCAAATAGCCATTATGAATATATACTTCATCTCATAGAATTCAAGAGAGTAATTACATAATTCAACAAATAATTTAACTAATATCATAGGCTTGATTGATTGACACTTGCAAGAATTGAGAGAGGCTCATCTCTTTTTTGTATTGCAGAAAAATGAAAAAATGATAAAGGATAACCTACACAAACCGATGTGCAGCGTCCAGTGTTCATCACCGTCGATAACTTTCAGCCTTATATTGATTTCACTTCACGTTCCTGCACACTTCCCACCTTGAAATTTCGCTTGCAAACAATAGTCCTAACATGAATGCTTACACTAGCCGTAAGAAAAATAAGGTGGAACAGATTACAAATAATCTGAGAATATTTCGTACAAAGAACGCTTCCACCCGACATGACGTAAAACACGCGAATAAATTAGCAGGTACCACAGCAGTAGACCTGTACGAGACGAACTACATGAGAGCAGCCATTTGAGATGGTCGAGACAAGATAGGGAAAGAGAGGGGATTTGTACTGGTATGCTATGAATATTGCGTGGGAGGGGGGTACGTGCAATGAGCTCTTTTCCATTATGTCATGTAACAATAGCCGTATTGAGGCGGTGACAGTCAGTCAGTCTAGATAAATTCTGCTTGGCTTATTGTCCTCTTACTCACTACTTTTCACATCGAATCTTCCCAATGACTGTGTATAAAAGGAATCTGCAACTATTCATTTTATTAACTTATTCTCTGTACTGTTTCAAATAATATTGCATATCAGTTGGAACTGAAAAATTGTTGCATTTGTAGAAGTGGCCAAGTTTAAGAATCACAACTCTGAAATTATTCAAGTTTTTTTCCGCAACTACCTGTTCCCATATTTTCAACAAGCCGGTCAAATTGTTCGCTTTCCCTGAAAAGCAAATGACTGCAATCACGTTAAGAAAATTTTTCATAAAACTGAATAATACAGATAATTTTAGATCAAGTGGAAAGGAAGGATACCATGAATTTCGATTAAACTTCCATATATTCGAGCTCGTGACTTATCAGTCAATTTGAATAATTCATGAGCATTCATAAATGATTCCAAAATAGCGGGCTAAAAAAAATGAAGTCGAGTGTAGGAAATGAAATAGTGATATTATTTGTCAACGTTTAAAAACATCTTAAAATTCAAATTTTTACCTCCTTTTCTCTCTTAGAAGCTGGAAGTTTTTCAACACTCATATATGATTGTATTCACTGCTTATGAATTGTTGTTCACTAACTTTTGTTCACTTTCCTTGATGAGAAATGAAAGGGAGACGAGAAAGATTTATCATAACACGAAGAAAAAAAGTAAAAGTATAATATAATCGCTAGATTCCTCACTAACCTTTTTACATTTGCGTGTCAAATTACATATGAATTCTACGTCTTCCGTTGATATGTTGTAGTTTTGTTTCTGAATAATAAATGAAATAAATGACTTACATGAAAACTGAATCGATTCATTTCAGAGGGTCACTTCAGAATAAAAAGTGGATAAAGTTAGATTAGAAAAGGAATGAAAATTGAATACAAAGATACCCTTAGAAAATCCACAAACTGTATATGAAGTTCTTCCATGAGAAATACAGAACCCAAAATGCAGATTTGCTGCAGACGACTTTCTATACTTCCGTTGATGATTTCTACTGCTGAAAGAGAATTTATAATATATGTATCCCGACTAAAACATACCTTACTAGTTTCAAGTTCGAGTCACTAGATAACTCGGGAATGTCTAAGGTGTGTAAAATTAAAATTAAGAAAGCCAAAAGCGTATAAAAACATAGTGTTGTGAAGGAATTGGTAAAAATAGATTAAAATTGCAACCTTCCTGAAATAATTCATCATTCTTTTTGAAGGCTGACCAGAGCACAAAAAATGCTGTACTCGATAATGAGCCATGTTTTCCGTAATGAGAAAAATAATCAAATTCTTCAATCGCTTTCTTTACTTGATTCCTGCAGTATCTCAAGGTTTCTCATTCGAAATTTTCATTCATGAAGAAAAGAGTTCCTACGACGGCTGGAAAATAAATTTGAGAATTCAAAAATGATGAGGTAAATAGTGGAATTGCTATTAATACTATGTTAAAATGAAACAGAAATCTGAAATCACCAGACTCTACACAGTAAATTCCAAATTCAAAGAAAAGTACAATATGAGAATGAAATTATGAGAAATAAAGTAAGCAAGAATGAATGCAACCTTATCAACTGGGACAAACTGGGAAAATGTGACAATGCAAAATGAAATGAAATAGAATAGTGTATGCATCACCTCTCTGACATCATTTAATACATAGGCTGAGTTCAGAAATCAGTCTTTTTTGCATTTCTTCTCGCTTCACATACAGAATGAAAAAACGAAGTGATCTAGGCAAGTTGACAATTCTTCTAAGTTTAAATAAACATGTCTAATAGAAATAAACGCTTTTGCCTTTTAGGAATAGTGAGACGTTCCGAAAGCGCATTACTGGAACGAAAAAAGAAAGTATGGAAATTCTTAGAAAAATACATTGAGGTATGATCAAATAAATATACTTTTGAAGCGCATAAAATCTAATATCTAATTCTAACTACATTTATTAATAATTAGAATAAAAAGACTTTGCAAACTTTTAACTTGAACCCGCATGAGTAATTCATTCAATACTTGATAAAGCTAGGTTTTGGATATCTAGGAATAAGTGGTCCTAAAAATTTATATAAATTATAGAAGTTGTTGGTGGCTCCTGAAAATAATATGAATTCAATGATAACATTATCCGAAGTGCGTGAGGTATGCTTGCGATGTCGAGAAACATTCAGGATGGAAAGCACTCTACTTCGTATAGATCCGCCCATTTATATTTTGGGCGATATACACGGACAATTCCCGGTGATTCACTTTTCATCCGAACATATTTTCCCAAATTTGTCACGTCTTCCGATGTATAAACAAAGAATAGCAAATTGAATTTTACAGGATTTAGTGAAAATCATCTCAAAAATAGGCACACCGCCACGTAAACGTTATTTATTCATGGGTGATTACGTGGATCGAGGACAGTGGAGTCTTGAAACTGTCTCACTATTAATGGCGTACAAGGTTTTTTCAAACCCTTAAAAGATAACTTACAAAGTATTTCGTTCCAATCCTTTAAAGTTCCATAATTTTAATAGTCACTTCCATGACAAATATTATTCGGTAATAAATTGAACTAAACATTTCTTTCCGACTTGAAATCACAAGTTCTACATGATACATAGGTTCGCTACCCGAAACATCTTTATATGCTTCGTGGCAATCATGAAACACGTGCTGTAAACAGAATATACGGTTTTTTTGAGGAATGCGTTCAACGATTCCCAAACAAGAATGCCGGAACTCAACTATGGACATTATACCAACATGCATAACATTTTTCTCAAAAATTTTCTTTTCTTAAATATACTTATTAAGATACATTTAAGAAAACTATCATATGAATCGATAACATTATAAAAATCTGCTCCAATGATTAAAATAGGAAAAATAACTAATATCTTCAAGAGAAATGGGTCGATAACATCACTGTTGAATGAGAATATGTCAATCAGCATGAAGCATGACAGTTGACAGTTGACATAAAGTTGAGATAAATTCTACATCACTTTAGGAGAAAAACAGAAGCATCCTGATTGGGAATAAACAATAAAGCAAACTTTAGACTTTCAACTGTATGCCATTCGCAGCCCTGATTGGCGAACGCATATTCGCAGCACATGGGGGAATTTCTGAAGATCTTCTTAACTGGAATCAATTCGAACGAATTTGCAGACCAACAGATATTACTGACATTGGATTCATCAACGATCTCATATGGGCCGACCCTGGTAATTTCCCGGGAAAATATATTCAAAGCCCCCGCGGAGTCTCACAGGTACAACATCTCCAATAGATGTGACTACTAAGTGACAGGCAGTAACGCATATAGCTAGCTAACAGAGAGATTTTGAAAAACAAACTTTTTTTTTTGGTATACAAACTAACTGGTAAGGACTTAACGTAGATTTCAATGGAGCAAATTTCGAGATTAAATAACAACTACTGGAAACTATTCCTTATAAAACATTAAATAAAGGAACGTTTAGCTTTTCGGAAAGCAAGCAACCGAAGAATTTCAACAAAAACTAAACATTGATCTTATTATCAGAGGTCATCAAGTATGCCATGATTTCACTACAGAGCCTATTCATATGACTTAAAGCTTTCTTCAATTTACCACTAATTAGCTTTCATAATAAATCACTGAACCATTATTAAATTACTTATCATTCGATGCCGGACATCATTACTACAGCGTAATGCGTCAGTCATACGGTTCATTTGTTTTGAACCAAGATTTAAACATCTCTATGACCCAAATGCAACAGTTAGGAAACACTGAGATCATTTTCAATTTTTCATTACATTTCTATGGAAGGGAAATAAATCAGAAAGTAAAAAATTGGAGGGCAAGGAAGTGAAAATGGAAGAGAAAAACAAGGCAAATGGAGATGTGACGAAAAAATTGTTACTACTAAAATTAAAACATTGACTCTTTTATGATTTATTGTTCTAAGTTTAGACTTTCAATTTGAACTACAGAGGTTCTATAATCTTGGAGTAAGGACTTAATAAACAATATTTGCCACTGTTCCTCAAACTATTATTGTCATTTTCATCCTTGCGTTTTTTTACAAAGTTAGCAAAAAATAACAGAACAGAGGAACTGGATAAAGAAATTCTTTTATTACAGGTCGCTCAAGAAGGATTCGAATTCCTTCACGATAGAAAGTGTTTAACAATATTTTCTGCTCCATATTACTGTGGCGAACTGAACAATAAAGCTGGAATATTATATGTAGCTGAATCTTTACACTGCACAATATATCAATTCAGGTTAGTAATAATACCTTCAATTTTTGTCTACAATTAAAAACCCAGCAGCGAGTTTCAAATAGTTTTGGACATAGCCATCAATAATTTTCCTCTCTCTTATAAGATTACTAGTTCTAAGTTCCTCACAAGTCTGTTAAAAATCTGCAGAGACATCGAACTGGTAGGTAATTAATGTTGCTTAAGTACATTTAAGCACAAATACAGTCAATATCTACTCACAAAATTCTTAATCACCAAGTACCACTTTTATATCTGGATCTTGTGTTAAGTGAACAAAGACAACAAATGTATGACGAGAAATTGAATAAAAACAAGCAGTTAAGTAATGAAAAAAGTAAATAAACACAGGGGTGCAAAAAAAGTAAATAAACACAGGGGTGCAAAAAAAGTGGGACGACATGGTAAATGTGATACGCCACAAAATAAGGAGGAAAAACCGAAAGCCAAACATGATGAATTGCTGAAAAAGGCCGTATCCATAAATGACAAGCAAAAGGAAAACGCAGAGAAACAAAAAAAATCTATGGAGCAGAGGAAAACAGAATTTGAATCATTAAATGTAGTAATTGATGATGAGAAGATATTCAATAGGAAATTAAGTGAAAACAAGAAAAAGAAAGATAGTGATTCAGCAATGGATGAAAAGAATAAAGAATATGATTGGAAAACGCAGGATGAATGAATAAGGAACAACCATCATACGTACCTACGTAATTCCATATATATATATATATATTATGCTAACCATCTGTATTTTACTTTACCAAAAGATCATTACAAACGATAAAATTCCTATAAGATCAGATAATGAAACTTACTTCTTGAGTAAATCCAGTATGAAGATTCTGAAAACACAATCTTTCACTTTGCAAAGCCTTAAATCAATAAGACGACAGTAGAAATGACGAGCTATTTCATATGCGTCTCCGCCCATATTATCAAAAATTCGACGTACAGCTCCTTCCACTTGTTCATCCATTAGTGATGCTTCTCCTGCTAAAAATAATTGATATATGTAACAAAATAATTACCGTAGTACACTAATAAGAAAATTATTAATACGGAAAATAAAGAAAAAAAAAATAAAAAGCCCAATCTAAATAGAAAAAGACAAACCAAATCTTAATTCTGCACCATGAGTCATGTAATGCATTTCCAGAACTTTTTCCCCTTCTTTCCAGCCAAGATGAATTGTTACAACTGATGCCAACTTGACAGCCATGAAATCGGGCACTTTTGCTTTCATCTTGCTTAAATAATTATTATACAATAGCCAAGAAGTCGGGTACTTTTGCTTTTATCTTGCTTAAATAATTTTTATACAATATTTACGAGCAGGAAAAGAACTGTTAATTAACAATGAGAATCCCGGAAAACTTACAGATCATTAAAATGATTTATAGCTCTTTGCACCTCAGCTCTAGTAAATGAACGACTTCCTTTCATGATTTCATTGAATGTATCTTTCACCATAGACTGGAATTTAGTTCTGCATTTAAATAGATATAAACATCTGCAGTGGCATGTATACCCAATAAAATGTTTGAAAAAGTGAGCACTCACTAACTCACAAAGGCACGACTTATAAATATTACTTTGAAGCAATTCCAAGTCAACAAAAAAATTTGTAGATTTTAAATTAGTATTACAAAACCTTTCATAGCTAGTACACAAGGAAATCTGATTGCTGATTTTTGCGGCTTTTCCGGATCAGATTTTGCAACTACAGCTACACATAAGTATATAATTTAAACTGCTCACATCTGCAGTCCAACCGTGCTTTTTCCACCGAACACAGGTCATTTCATTTCGTGACGCTTGGGAACTCATTGCTTTTTCAAAGTTTTTGACAGGAATACGATGCATGTCCATCGAAACCTGAGACCGAGATAGGGACAAGATTCCCGAGACTCGATTGAACTTCAGTAAATTTCGCGTCACCATAGCAACTTCGACATCATTTTTCCAAATGCAATTTAAATTACTTCGAGAAATTCTAAGAAAATTTATGTTTCATTATGGTTCTTCATTATGGGACTTTCAAAATCTGAAATATCATTCGTAAAAAGTAAAATCCGAAATTATCTTTCCAAAATGAATGAACAAAAAGACTGTCCCCAAATGCCTTAAGAAACATTTCTTCCATTTTCACTCTGATTTTTAAATGAAAAAAATAACTTTTTATTTACCTGAATTTATAAAACAATGTAAAATATACAGACAAACGATTAAAAAGAAATTACAGCTGTAAATTAGATTTAAAAACTTAAACCATGAATTTCTTCTTCAAAGCATGGCATCAAGACACACATAATTCGGAAAAGACGGTAGTAGACCCAGAACATACAAAATTGTCAATATCGTTGCGTTCGTAGTTTCTACTTCAGATAAATGGTGATAGAGCGGTTGAAGAAATTCTATTTCAATTATTTAAAATCACGAACAGTTGAAGTAAGATTCTGAGTTGGCACATTTTCATTATTAATAATATCAAAATTCTGCTCTTTCAATTTCAGTAGTAATGAATTCATTTCCGGAGTCAGTCCTTTTCCAATACCATTTAATCTCTCTTCAATCAGGTTAATCATCGCTTTATTTTTCCGCTTAACTGCAATATAAACATATAGAAAAAAATATATGATTTATTCAATAATTTGCTAAATATTCGAGCTATTCAAGAACATAAAATATGCGAGTGATGAACTATGATGTACATCTGGCATGACGAATTTTAACTGGGAAATATTTCTCTTAAGCTAGAAATTAAAAACATATTTACCAAAAAAAGTAACTATCTTGGAAATAGCATTTTCCAAATCTCGTTGTTCCAGATTCCTATTTGGAGTGCACAGCTCGAATAAATCAAGGATAACGTCTATCTGTAATTTTTTTATTAGAATCAAAACTTAACCAGAGAAATTTCAATTTACAATAAAAAAACAATTCAATTTGCAGGAAAAAATATCATAAAATTCTAGAGCGCACCCGGTTTAAATCGATTTCGCGATCAATATAATAATTAAGCTTCGCACTAGAAAGTCGGAAACTATTACTCTGAAAAACAGTTGAAGGTACAGCATTTAGTTAAATTCATAAATCGAAGTATGTGGCTGCAACTTTCAACAACAAAATAAAAAATGAGCGTACGTCTATTTGGGTAGCACTAAATTTGCAATACGAAATAGTGAGACATCTCTATTGTTCTGCTGTCATTTAAAAATGCTCCGGAATACTACTCACCTGTACCAGTCTCATTGCGTGCGTTTTTTTACACCGCTCTAATAAAGCAATGCAAAAGTCAGCTAGTGATGATTCCTTGCCATGATAAGTTGTAATCAAATTAAGCACTGGAAGATAATCGCTTGTTTAACTTCAAAGAAATTATCTGATGCTAACAGTTAAACACTATCTTAAATAATTTTATTGGAACGGCCTAAAAAGCATTAAGAAAGAAAGAAAAAGTAAACAAAAATTTCCATGTGTTCACGAAAAGAATGAAGAAGAACGAGACCTTCGGAAATGATCATTGTATCATCTCTTTCAATTGCTGCACCCATCAAATCAAATTGACCAAACACCGAATTTTTTTGAGCACTTATTATTTTTAATAAATCCAGAGCTTGACTCAGGTTACCCCTGAAAGAAAAAAATCTAACAAATTCATTTCTTGCAAGACTTGACCATTTCAGTCTCTTGCAATTTCAATCTTTCTACAAAAAGGTTTTGTATAAATGTTCTCACTAGAAAAAGCTGAATGTTATGCACGAAAAATAAATAAAATTTACTTTTCGACTAATTCGTGGAATGCGTTAACTCTTGTGCTATATAAAAGCTCTTGTTTAATATTTAAATGCAGATCCAGTATCTTACTCGTTTCATTTAGGAACACCATTCGCGTATCTGATGCATCCGACGAATCGTACTACAGCGAATAAGAAATAACAAACATTTTCATTTTAGAAACTGTATTTTACTCAAATCTGTTAATGACTTGATTAAAAATCACAGATAATCTGTGAATAATAGAAGATATTTGTCCTGTTAAATTGTCAGCATATAGAAAAAGATTGTTATTTTTAATGCCAACTTTTGCAACCAAATTCCTCCTACTGTAAAAAAAAAAAAGAAAATCTAACAGTGATAAGCACATGATAGGAGAGATCTTCATGAAGCTCGTTAAGTCTCATAAGAACGCATTTGAACTGATTCATCATTTTCGAAAAATATAATTTCTCAGCCAACAACAACCCTATAGATGGAGATATATGCTGCAACCTGTAAATAAACTAATTTTATTTCAAAATAACGAAAAATTTACTAAATTGAGAGTTTATCGAGGGTGATAAAATCAATATATGAAATTTCACTGCGTTGATAAAAATGACAGAACAGCCTGGAAATCTAAGTTGGGTCAATTCAGAATTCTTTTAGCATTATGCAAAAATGAGATCCAGTCTAAATGAAAAAGCTACCCAATAGCCCAAATTTTCTCTGCCCTTTCCAAATCACCACAATCAAGTGCATTCTTTAATTCGACTTCCATGCGTTTTTGACTCCCATTTCCTATCTTTCCTACAGGCTTTTGTCTAATACCATGACTTGTTGCTACCTACAATTCAAAAATGTTATACCTCAGCAAAAATATAGAAACTGTTTTAAAGAGGATATATTGTCAAATGAAAACATCGTTCCTTAAATAAATAAACGCCTAAAATTAAGAATTTATTGAAGATATTATACAAAAAGCAAGAAAAACCACCCTGTCAAAAATGATTAATTTCTCATCTGTGTAATGTTTACTTCTTCAAACTTCTGGATCCAAAAATAAGTCCTGAGAATCTAAATTTCATATGGCGTTAAACTTTTTTTAAAAAAGCCAATGCAGGGAAGAAATTACGCCAATAAAAAATGAAAACAAAACAGAAGACTGAAATCACATGCGGTTTTACTTTTTCTGATAATTTAGTTACAAACTGCTTCTTTGACAGTTCACCCTTCCGGTCAAGAGTTTGTAAAAGATCGTCCTTATCGATTTTCCGAAGAACAATTCGTTTATCAGCAGACCACAATTCACACATCACTTTGACTTTATTCAAATCCCCCGCAACGATGGCTGCTTTGATTATTTGCACACCTTTTCCATATTGACGATTACTGCTTACACCGGGCACTAAAATAGTTGAACCTCCCTGGAGATGAAAAATTGTTACAAAAAAGAATTCAATAGAGCTGAAAAAACGTTGAAGAGTGTGGGGAAAGTAAGGTAACAACGAAATGGAACATACATGGAAAAAGCAACCGTAAAAGGCAGCAAGCTGAAATAAGATTTTTGTTGTAAATTGACGTGTTGAGAATGAGACTTTTCACTTCTTGATATGGATAAGCATCTCCTGCTGAAGAATTTTTCAAGGCCCTTAAAATGAAGTAAAAGTAATGTCGATTTATGCGAAACATAATAGAAAAAACATAACAGAGGAAAAATAACAGATAATAAGACAGTGATATAAAAACTGATCTACACTAACCCATGCAACAATAGTTGAAGTTGCTGCATTTGTTTCGTTGCCAACAAATAAGTAGTGAGAACATCAACTACGAAACACTGAAGTGGACTGTCATTTTCAATTTTTTTCATCAACTGTGGCAGAGCATTCAAATCTTAAATTAACAACTAATGAAGTTCATTCTTACAATTCATTACTTTGTATTAAATTAACATTTTCAAATGCCTGTTTCAAATACCTATTCTGCAGCTTGTAATATTACTAATAGGTTAGATAACATAAGCTGCAATGAAATACTTCAAGTATTTAAAGCATTTAAACATCATGAAAGAAGAGAAAATTTATATATATATATATATATATATATATATACTGCTAAAATATCTGAATGAAAATAATAGCAGGACTGATGCAAACATGTAAATAATTTATTACCTTTCAAAAGCGGAAGAATAAATAAATCTTTCACATTTGCAAAATATTTGTCACCGCAAGATGCAATTCCAGTGCTCTGAAGGGAACGTGCAATCTCCAACAAATGTTCAACTTTCTTCTCTACTATATCAGTTTTCATCAACTGAAAAAGTTGAAGTTCACATCCAGAAATTCACTAAGTTGCTGTCGAATGATAAGCAAAACAAAACAACCGAATGTGAACCCGGAAGAATAAGTCACTTGTAACCAACACATTAAGCCAGGCATTCTAACGAAAAGCGAGGAAAGTTCATTTCAATTATTATTCATAAATCAGGAAACTTCTCCGTACTATCGTCTATGTATGTTGAGCAGTATTAATAAAGATTATATTTGTGCTTTAGATGGATGTGTGCTAAATGAATTAAACAGAGTTAAATTACATTACTTTAATGTCATTAAAATAATGTCCAACAATTCACCTCTTTGAAATGTAGTACTGCGAGAGGAAGTTGTAAGTGAGGGCGATCATACAGTTCTGCAAAATCATCCCTTCCCTTGTAAATTGCGAAGAGGTCGCGGAAGTTCTTAGGATTATTTAAAGCTACAGAGTTTAAATAAATTCGAAATGGATGCCTGCAACAATTTAATATTTATAAACAAAATGCAAAATACAATTTGAGAAATTACAGATAGACACAAAAAACCTTTACTTCAAGATATTGCATTTCTGGAAGATTGTACACACACTTATAGCATCTGCAATATGCTTCTTTTGAATAGACGATGGGAATAGTCTTGTTAGGATGGACCGTAATTTTAACCTCAAAAAGCAAAGCATAAAATATAGCGACATGATAAATATCTTGATGTAGAACTAAATATGAAGCGCTAAATATACGCTATATTAGATTTGCTAAATTACCAATATTTTTGGAACTGATTGAGATATTTCAATTCTATAATATCACTGATTTAAACTAAAAAGGAAAGAGGGCGCAGAAGGAGAAAAATGTTGCATTCATAAACATTAATCAGAAAGAATAAAATAAACGTACCGTTTTTCAGTATTCGGAATAAAATCAAGCAACAATGCAGCTGCCGTAATATTCTCTTCTTTTTTACTTAAAAATGTGCGGGCTTTACTGTAAACCATGTATCCCCACTGACTATCTACATCTTCTGATAAAGATGGAAGAAGACTTCTTAACTAAAAATAAAATTAGATGGAACTGAAAGCTAAAATTTAGTAAAAAGCTTCTCATTGTTTAAAAAACAGCACATATCATTCGTGCTTTCCATCATTAAAAAGCAATTTCAAAAGTAATGACATATACATACCTTTACAACTGCTTTCAAGTTTCCCTTTTTAGCAAGACAAAATAATAACTCATATATCGAAATCTGGTGTTTTTCCATGAAAGTGTCAATATCCGCAATTTCATCCAGAAACTGAAAGCATCCTTGCCACTAGTGAATAAAGTCTCTCTAGTATTGGTGGTCTCCCTAATACCATAAAAAAAAAAAGAAAGATAATAAAAGTTATCCATTTCTAACCTCTAGAGCATTCTCACCATCAAAGTATTCGGCTTTCGCCAAAGTATATGCCATCTTCAAGCCATCTGCCAAAAATATATTATTTGCAACGTTCTGAAAATCAGAAAATACTTAAAATAGAAAAAATATGATACTAAAATCCCTTTTATGACAAACCCTTACTAAAAGTTAAAAAAGATTATGAGAAATGCTTACTTCAATAACTGATTTTGCTTTTTCATCTTCTCCTGAACTTGTCAAACTATAAACCATAGATTCAAGTACCTGATCGGACAATTTTACTCCAATATTTCTGATATGATTGATTATTTCGCTGAAAACAACACTTCAAATACAAAAAATAGTAAACAATCTGATACTAGGAAAGTAAATGAGCGTCCTACTTCAAGCGACAAGATTCACAAGTACTGTTAGCTGCAGCTGGAATAGTTGTAGTTCAATATAATTAAGAGTTTTTAGATCGCAAAGAGAACTTACCTAATTAGTGATTACTATAGCAAAAGCCTGCGGAAAATTTTTTAAAAAAAGATAAATGCAAATATATGTGTGCAAACATAGGGAGATCATTTTGCAGAAAAAACTCACAATATTCCCTTTAAATCGGCTTTTCGTGCATAAATTCGAGAAAGCTGGCCGTATGTTTGGGCATCAGGAACAAGCCCATCTGACTCGAACTGTTTGAGTGTTTTCACTACATCAACATCTACTCGGTTGTCAATTTGAACAGCAAGCAGAGCATTTCGAGCAGTAATACCTAACATAGCACCTGTAAATATACTAATTTTTCTCGAAATTTACGAGATAACACTCAAAGAATTTTAAAAGTTAAGTCTAACCTAATCTCAAGTTTCTGATTTTCAACTTACATGAATTCAGGTGCGGTCGAGTAATGAAAAATGAAACAAAAGTTAACGAACGGGAAAACAGCAAAACTATAACATTTCGATAACTAATTTGGACTTATACAAAATTCAAATAGTGATAACCGAGAATTTAATTTGACAGACTAGTAAACCAACCTCTTATTTTAAGAATATTAAGTAAACGAATAGTATATTCATTTCTTTGCGCTGCAGACAACATCTGACATCGACATCCAGTGGCACTTATAAGAATAGTAATTTCTGAATCCATCAATTTCTTAACATTGCATTTAGGGTCATTCAGTATATACAGTGCTTTCTCAAGATGTGCTTCCGTAACCAAGTAGTTCCATTCAATGCTGCAAAATTAGTGAATAGAGTGAAATAAGAAGGAAAATAAAAGAAAGGCAAAAGAATTCTAGTGAAAGTGAAAAAATTCATAAAATCCTCTTTCCCCTAATCCATAATTAAGCATGATATTTTCTTAGCTGCAATGATAAGCATTAAAAAAAAAATTTCAGCTTTCCCTGAAAATATCGCAAAAGATTAATTGAGAGAAACAGATTAACCTTTATAAAAACTCGAAAAAAAAGTAAGTTGATGAATTCAAAATATCAATATGATACCCGTCAATAACGTCGTAAATGTTTTTCTGCTGATCGACTTGAAAATCCTTAATATGTTTTTTGAGCAGACTTAGCTCCAAATAGCTCATTTGAGTATGTTGCGACTTATCTAAAGAATCTAGTGGCCATTTTGGGTCGTACGATCCCTAAAAATATACCAGTAGAGTGTTTTGGAAAAGGAGAAACTAAAATATTTACTCCAAAAAAAAAAACAAAAATCTACGAAAATTTGAAGCACCAATGAGTTCGCAATTAATATCGGAGGTCCAACTATTTTAGCAATATCCTGATTGACAGAAGTGGTTCGCTTTGCTATGCTTTCTGTAATTCGCTTCCTGCACAACCTAAAACGGAAATGTTCTTGGTGAAATTATGAAATGACGAAAATGCTGTTTCGAGATAAAGTTATTAATAGTCGATAAAAACATTGTATGAAAACACTTTATAGTATATATATATATTGCATGAAAAAAAAAAAAAAAAGTCAACTATTAAATAGATTATGAAACTATTTTGAAGCTTAAATAAAGACGAATAAGAAATAAATGAATACGATTTTGTTGCCCGACTACTCGCTGCTATAAACATTCTTCAAATTATATGAAGAGAATAACGTCAAACACCCAGAACTGAAAAAAAAAAAATGAATACTAAACATAATTTACAATTAGTAACACATTCAAATTATCTCCAAGCCTTCGAAATAAAAACCACTACTTTGATAAATTCTTTCTTTCTTGACTTGAAATCACAAGTTCTAAATGATACATAGGTTCGCTACCCGAAACATCTTTATATGCTTCGTGGCAATCATGAAACACGTGCTGTAAACAGAATATACGGTTTTTTTGAGGAATGCGTTCAACGATTCCCAAACAAGAATGCCGGAACTCAACTATGGACATTATACCAACATGCATAACATTTTTCTCAAAAATTTTCTTTTCTTAAATATACTTATTAAGATACATTTAAGAAACCTATCATATGAATCGATAACATTATAAAAATCTGCTCCAATGATTAAAATAGGAAAAATAACTAATATCTTCAAGAGAAATGGGTCGATAACATCACTGTTGAATGAGAATATGTCAATCAGCATGAAGCATGACAGTTGACAGTTGACATAAAGTTGAGATAAATTCTACATCACTTTAGGAGAAAAACAGAAGCATCCTGATTGGGAATAAACAATAAAGCAAACTTTAGACTTTCAACTGTATGCCATTCGCAGCCCTGATTGGCGAACGCATATTCGCAGCACATGGGGGAATTTCTGAAGATCTTCTTAACTGGAATCAATTCGAACGAATTTGCAGACCAACAGATATTACTGACATTGGATTCATCAACGATCTCATATGGGCCGACCCTGGTAATTTCCCGGGAAAATATATTCAAAGCCCCCGCGGAGTCTCACAGGTACAACATCTCCAATAGATGTGACTACTAAGTGACAGGCAGTAACGCATATAGCTAGCTAACAGAGAGATTTTGAAAAACAAACTTTTTTTTTTGGTATACAAACTAACTGGTAAGGACTTAACGTAGATTTCAATGGAGCAAATTTCGAGATTAAATAACAACTACTGGAAACTATTCCTTATAAAACATTAAATAAAGGAACGTTTAGCTTTTCGGAAAGCAAGCAACCGAAGAATTTCAACAAAACATTAATCTTACTATAATAAGTGCAGTGGACTGCACAATGCAATTGCTAAGGCGCACTCAAAATTTAACGAGTTCTGAACATCAAATCCCGCTCCATTCATATATCTTTCTTTTGATACAGCTGACTGCCTGGTAAGATACCTGCGAATTTAAATTTTCTATTTCCATCAAAGTGAATAAGTAACGTCCTGTTGATTTACTCGGGTTCTTCCAACAAAATTTCTATTCGTTTTATTTAAATTAATAGCTATGCCTAAACTTGCATTCTCCTTAAAATTCAATTCCAGAATTTATTAATATTACAGACTTAAGCCTTGTAATACTTCCTAAACATTGTTATGCACAATCTAACAAAACGTCAAGCTAAGAAAACTAGAAGCAAGTATGTAAGTTTACATGTGATAAATAAGAAGTAAAATACATCTCACCAAAGTGATATCACGATCATTATACAGATAAGATTGACATACTGTGAAATATTCAGTTCCTGACAACCAGAAAGATAACGCATAGATTGAAAATTTTTTTAAACTTTATTTTAAAATGGGCAATACACAATAGACAGGCTAAGATAATTGAAATGAACAAATTCTTATAAAGCACAATAAGCACTGAAATTTAATAATACTCAAACAGCGCACGTTGTTTAGTCCGATCAGCTAATTCGCATTTCCTTAAAAATATTTCTTTAAAAGTATTTTCAAAAGTCTACTTGACGAAACTAAATGAGACAACCATCAGCATCAAACTTGAGGTCAAGCAATGAAATGATCTGTGGTCTGGAAGTTTGAGTACCATCAGTGAGTGATGACCCAGTTGCAAAGTCCGATTGCAAAACATGAGTTGAGTCGAACAGCATACGTTGTTTTGTCCGATCAGCCAGTTCGCATTTCCTTAAAAATAACTGTATAATTTAAAACGACTATTTTCAGATCATTCTGCTCAAACTGCACTGAAAATAGAAAATATGGACTTTTTAAAAGAAATTTAAACTATTCCTTTTAAAAAAGTAGAAAATAGTTTGAAATTAAAAGTAATATGCTTTGTGCTTCAGAATAAGACAGGATTATACTTCATCAAGTACCAAACACTAAGAAAGCGAAAAGAAAATAAACAAAAATTTACACTTTGGCACCTAGACCATTTTCACGTCTGTTTTGTACTCCACTATGTTTTGCTGTATTTTTCAGCGTTGGAAAGAGATCAGATCTTTTTATCAAGGCATTCTCCGCAGCACGCATTTGAGCTAACTGCATTGTATGTCCACATCCTACTGCTAATCGTTTCTTTCTAAAAACAACTAATGATGGAATATGTCTTTAAATAATAAAGATAGCAATAGACACAGCCAAAAGTCTCTTCATATGAGAGAACTAAAAAACGGTTCTATACAAAATTATAAAACACAATCACATCTGTAAAAACATTATCACCTAAGCATTATATAGACAGAAATAAACAGCACAATATTACCTGAAATAAACGGCAACTTTGTATATTCTCGTATTAGTTGGACCTTCAACAGCTATTGTTCTATATTCCGGGATGTCTGGTTCACCACCATCCATTTGTCGTAGAGTTAAGCAACACTGTTGTAACTGTGATTTTGGGTCATTCCAGTGCTGAGCAATAATAAAAAACTGAAAAGGATTATCAGTCAACTTTTTAACTTTTCCATCATAAATGCATCTTAAATGCAAAAACTAATTACGCCGTTTACAAATCATTTCAACAGTTAAAGAAAAAATTTTATAAAGAAATGAATAACTAAATTCCAATGAAACTCATTTAAAAATGTATCAAAAACGTACTTTTAAACGGGGGAAGAAACAAATTCTACAGAAAACTTTGCAATAATCAAATCCACGATCAACGTAAAGAGCACCAAGAAATGCTAAATAGAAAACAGTGAATTATGATATGTACCTGACAACTGTGCTTATTGTGCTAACAGACAGTAATATGAGAGAAAATTTTTTGAATTTTTTTTTAACCCAGTTTCTAAAATACTAAGTGAACATGAATACGATGCAGTTCATCTAGAAAATAATCACCAGCAACTGTTATAACAATATAGCTCATGATAATGAATTTGTAATCATGAACTATGTGCAATTCACATATAGAGAGGACATACCCTCAACAAGATCAGCCTTGTCTTTTACTCTTAACACTGGCATCCCACTTTTTTGCATAACTTTTGGCGTTACCAAATATTTCGTCATGCCAATATCATCACAAATTACAGATTGTGTCTAAAAATTTACTGTTGACAAGTTAGAATTATAAACTGTTTTTTGCACTGACTTTTGGGCGTACCAATTTGTACTCTTGTGCTTTCAAGCCTCCCTTAGAAAAATTTTTTGGTAAAAAAAATCCTTGACAATATATATATGATGATATTATTTATTGAAACATGAAGTGATAAAAAGTTGAATTCATGAGTTTAAAAAATGAAAACATGGTTTAAAGACGAACCAACGAGAAAAGTTTCCCGAAAACCGTTTACAACTTTAAAGTGTTGAACCGAACTTACTCTGTTGCTAACTAAGCAAGTGCGCAATATTGATAAATGACCTTCATGATGGTATGGAAAGTGCTTATAAAGATAATCCGTTGTTATCAACTGCAGAACCGTATCCCCAAGAAATTCCAAACGTTGATTGTGGCCTCTATAAAGTTTTATGAAATTTATAACAAATTTACTCACAACTGATCATTTTTTTGCATGAAATTTTTAAGAACATCAATTTTGTCTTTTCTTAAAAATATTAAACAGAGCGAAATTAAGAAATTGCCTCTTAATCTTAATTTTAAGGAAAAAATCAAAAAAGAAAAATGGAAATCAAGAAAATAACGTGAAAAAAAAAAAAAAAAAGCACAAAGTAAGATTATTGAAGCCAATATTTCTTCTAGTGAAAGCTTTAGCAAGCACTCTTATATGTTTGAATGTAATTCCGATGTTTTTCTCTAATTCCGTGAGCAGCTGAAGCGCCGGTACACCATTTATCAAATGACGGTCACCATTTGGATTATCTCGCTGAAAATTAAAATTGAAGAGCAAACAACACAGGAAAAATGATGGAAACCTCCAAGAAAATGAAGGAAAGCTTTCTCTACCATAGCTTAAATCTGATCTTGAAGCATTTTTTTAAGTAGTTTTTAGGAACGATTCAAAGAAATAATTTTAAAATCAATGCTTTTGTTTCATTTTCCTAAAAGAGATTGGATTTTTTTTCAACTCAAAAGAGTCCTTATGTCCTTAAAAAAAAACCTAAAGCAGCAATGATTTCAAAAACAAATAAAAATTATTTTTTCTTGTAAAACAAAAACAAAAAAAAAAGAAAAAATTATTTCCAAAAAAATTCTTTAAAAGTAAAGAATGAATCTGATTTACCTTTAAAGGATGATCTTCTAAATCAAACCATGTAGAAAGTAATTCCTTCGAATCAGCAAACATGGCGTGACCAAAAATTCTTAAAAAGATTAATTTAAGAGAAGAGAACAAAACACTGATTAAAGAGCTATCTATATATGATTTATGACAAACCTATCACACTCATCGATTCCAGCGTCAAGATAAATTGCAGCCATCATTGCTTCAAAAGCATTTGCCATCGCATGTCTAAGATCAGATTCATGGCATAAATCAGGTCCATGCGCGTACAACATAAACTCGTCCAGGCCTATCTTCTAAAAAGTGCCCTATAAGATTCAAAGCATATTGCACACTGCACCGAATCTGCATCCAGCAGCAAAATCATGCTTTTAAATCCAAAAATTCGAAAACCTTAGCAAGCAAAGCAAGGTTTTTATTTTGAACCATTGTTGAACGGTAAGTGGCCAAACCGCCTTCATCAAGTTCGCTGAACATATAAAACAAATGAATAGTAGTAATAAATTCAATAACAGCATCGCCCAAAAATTCGAGTCGTTCATTATGATTTAATGGCGATTGTTCCGCTTTTTTTGAACCCAATTTCGACATGATTTCCATTAGGGTATGAAAACCTAAAATTAAACCGACAACACAGATGCATCATAATTCGAATTATAGTTTGTTGATATAATAGAAAATAGAAAAAGAACGAAATTTCAAGAAAAAGAACGAAATTATAAGGAAGCAAATACCTCGCTTCTTAGCACTTAACTGCTGTTGCACTAAACGATCATGCACTCTTTGCTTGGAAGAACGTACACCACAATTGTTAAGAGTATTACGAGCATGATCGCTATTAGTACCATAATTAGTACGATATGATGGATGGGTCAATGCCAGTTCCAAAAGCGAACGGTTCTGCAACTGTACAAATGAAGAGACTTTTTTTTCTAGTATTAAAAAGACTACTATACGAAAAAAAAAAACAGTATGACTCGAATCATTTCTGCTATTCAGGCAAGAATGAAAAACCTTGAAAACATAGTGAATGCGTTCTTGCTCATATACTTGTAAAGACCATTGAAAACGCACATGTGCACATGCAAGAATTAGGAGCAAACCATGCTGAAAACATTATGACTCGAATATTTTAACAAATTTAACTTAAACGCTTAAACACAAAAAATACCTGCACAATATCGGGAAATAGTCCTGTACTATAGAAGCTGCGAGATGACACTGACATAACAAAATCACGCTTTAGCTGACTAAAAAAAGTAAAGAAAATAAAGAAGATTAACTGAGTTTTTAAGGTGTATGAATCGTAAACTTTTGGAGTGTATGATCAAGCGTACATTATAAAAATAAGAAAATAACAAAAAACTGTTCTTGATGTGAGTTTTCATTTAATTAAATTATTGCAGTTTGTGTAACCATAAGTGAAGCTGGAAGAAAAGAAAAGGCAGAACTTTCTCTAAGCTACCTATCATTACGCAATGCTTTTAATTGTGAAGCTTTCTGTGCAAGTTTTCCTCTTTCCTCCGCACTTACACGTGGCTTCATTGCAAGAATTTTGCGCATTCGCAAGTATTCCTTGGACATTTTTTGATACCTGCAGTAGCAAAAATCATGCAAAACTGTACACGCAAGAATTAGATAAAAAATTCGAGTTTAACTAGACAATATCGACCATCGGGAAACCACTCACTCTGCATTTGAATTATAAGTATGGGAAGAAGGCCTCATACCAAAGTGAGTAATCAACGGAAAGAGAGTATCCGAATTGTTAGGCAAAAAATCTGGCCTATCAATGAGATCTACCCGAATTGTCGATGGCCTCTGAAAGAAGGGAAACTGAGCATAAAACAATCTCAAAAAAAGAAAAAAACAATGAAATTTTGTGCTTTTCTACGAAATAAAATCGATTCGCCGCCCAAAATATGTTTATTCACGATTAAGACAAAATGCTATGAAATTAGGATTTAAATTCAGTAAATCTAAGGATAATTAACTGACCTTACTTGCATTCATAACCAGGGAGCCACGGACATTTTCAGCAAAATCGCGAAAAGCATCAGCATCATGTTTAAGAATCTGCGCCTCGGACTCTGTCATAAGACAATGATAGCTCTCAATCAGATAAGTCATTACAACAGACATTGGTAATATCTCCTTCCCGCCATCTGAAAATATTTGCTATATCAAAACTGTTATGCAAAAGGTACAAAAAAATTGAAAAAATGCAAAAATGGAAGAAGACAATCACCTGAAAGGTTGTAAACAAATCTTGGCATACAATGGTAATAAGGACAACCATCAGTGTTATCCAAAGGGTATTTTTTTAAATCGTACATTTCCATAATATCGGTAAATAAATAATGATGGAATAATTCTAAGTCTTCTATTGTAAAATTCTGCAAAACTACTAAATTAGGAAAATTCGCTGAGAAAAGTTCAAATCCTTCTAGTATCTTGGAAGTTAATTTCGAAAAAAAAAATTAACAGATTCAAACTTTCTTCACTAGATTATTGGAAAAATGAAAATACTTGCAGATGAAAAAAAAAAATAAAGATATAAAAAAATGTAAAATATATGAATGAAAAATAACCGTTGGAATATTTTCCTCCATAAATTTAATGTTATATTCACTTGTCCATTTTGACAATGGTGTTTGGGGAAAATTCGATGGAAGGGACTTGTGAAAAAAAACAGAAAAGCCTTCCAGTTCATAAGTCCTACCACGGTGGTTAATTTTTGTTGAACGGCGAACAACAGTATTTGGATTAGGTTCAGTATAAAGTATATAGTGCCATAAACGATGCGAATTGCTAAAAAATAATTTTAATTTGCTATGACCACGGTGTATTTCGGAATATCAAACATCTATATGGCACTATACTTTATATATGGCACTATATCATCCCTACTTACTAGTAGCAAATTCCTTTCATATGCAAAATATCACTGATCTTCACATTAACCTTGAGCTTAGATCACATTTTTCTATAACAGTCTCTCCAGCATATTTATTATGACGTAAGCCGGATTTTTTAGCTGCCCATGAACAGCGACATTCTGGTCCATCATTCATTTGACCAATTTCATTGAAGCAAACATCACTGTGAAGAATGGCTGGATGGTTACGTTTTCTAATGACCTACAATGAATATTTACAATGTCTAAGATATAAAAGCTGTAAATAGATTTAAAATTTTCAAATTAACCTCTTGTTTCGCAACGGTGCTATGCTTTTTGGATTCACTCATTTTTACACGAGTAATTTTATCTTTACTATCAGTTTGCTGTTCGTCAACAGATACGTTGCCACTTCTCTCATCACTGTCATCAACACAATCATCGGAATCACAACTTTCTGATTCAGTTTCAGTATCCGAGTGATGACCACCTAGAAGTACAGAAGTTTCTTTGGAAAAATCTAACAATGAAATCCACTGGAACCATAATAGTTGAAAACCTCTTCTTTTCTATCATTTTAATTCACAAAAAAAACAAAAGCACCTTACATTTGCAGTTGTCATGAAATGCAAGAATATTCGGAGGATCGGATTTCGGTTGACTTTCTTTTTCCTTCGCGATTTTTTCTATAATCTCTATTCTGAATCTTTTATGTAACTTTTTCAATTCTTCGGTAGCACAGCAATCACCGACATCGTTCTGTAAACATGGAAGAAATTTATTCAAAATACTTATAAATAAAAGTAAGGAAAATTTTTTAAATTTAATTTAGATAGTACCAAAGAATTGTTTTAGTAGAATTAATTTAGATAGTATATGAAGCAGCTGACATACAATGCAATAAAATTTTTCTTCAGGAATACTCCGCGAATGGAAGCCACTCATTGCCACAGTCTGTTCAACCTGGTCAATTTCGTCATCCGTATCGCTTAATATTGTGTCAACAAAATCTTCCTTTGTCAACTTCTGCCAACGAGGGATGTCTTTACCTAGACAAATTTAAAGATATATATTTCTAATTATTTAAAATAAATTTGATTACAGCATTAATTCTTACATTTAGTTATAATATATCAACTTTTAAATAATTATGCGAAATATTTCTGTTCCCATTTATTCTGCTTGTTGAAATTCCTAATCTTACACATCAATTTATTTACTGTAGTAGAATGGACCAAATTCTCTACCATCTTCTCAAACCTTTAGTCAAAAAACTAACAAGAACATAAAAATTACCCTGCTCTGATTCGCTTTCGCCACTACTAGATTGTTCATGTCTTCGTTTCCTATATCGTGTTTTCGTCGTGTTCCATTTATTGCTCTTGTGTTCTGCGTGCTCTTCCTCATTACCAACATAACTGAAAAATTCTTTTTTAATTCTTTTTTAAAAACAAATCATAAGATGGGAACATTCATGGAACGAATAATATGACCATTTACTTGAAATCTTCATCGCTGATATCTATTGGTTCAGCAGCGGATATCCCACAGTCTGACGTTAACGTACAAACCGTATCATCGGATACTCCAGCTTCTCTTATATGTAAGTTCTAAAAAATTAGTTAATTAGGACTAACAAACTGTTGAGCAGTTTCAACTATTTGTCAGCTCATGAGTAAAGAAATGAATAAAATACATAAAAATTTTAGGGACATTACAGATATAAAAATACCTGCTTTACTGCAACACGAGAAACGTCTCTCAGACTCGGCAATGATCGGCTATTCCTACTTCCCGGTGTTCTTACAAATTGCGACCTTTCGACTGTTGATGCTGATGACCATTGGTACCTTTCTAAGCAACGTTATATTTACATATCCGACTTCATATTCCAATTCCTAATCCAAAACAGATACAGAAAGAACTTCAAACTGCTCAGTCTAAGTTCACTGCTTACCTATATCAGAAAACAAAGGTTTTGGACAACCAACAACATTTCGATATGGTCGACACTGAACATCGGATATCTAAAAATATTTCTTTGGAATTATATGAAATCAAAAATAAATTTTGCAAGATGTCCAAAATAAATTCCAGAAAACAACCTGTTCTGATGAATTAGATACGGGAAGCAGTGGCCTCATTGCTGAGAGATTAGATGTGTTGTGTGAAACAATTAATGGAGGAACATTTCGTGCTGCTTTTCCGCCCGTCGTTGATAGCATATTAACAGTGCCTAAATAATTTTTTTCTAAAAATTTCGAAAGAAACCTATATATTTCAATAAATTCCAAAAGTTTTGCTTGAATACGGTTATATTAAAATAGTCAGTAAACGAATCAAATAACTTGATTTAAAAGACACCTCATTTTTCTAGTCCTCATTTGTTCAATCCTCAACAGCCATTACATATGAAATGATTTAACATTTTGATCATATACAAGTACTAAAATGTGAAATAAGATTTAACATATCAAACTAAATTGCCTCTTACTAGATAACAATAGTTACTGCTATGTGCAGAAAATTCAAAGTGCTAGTGGTAGAAAAAGATGGGATCTATTGAGGCAAAATAACAGTTCTCAAAAATTATGCAGTTAAATTATTCTGGCAGTCACTGAAGCGTACTCCGCAAGAAAACGGTTGCAATCTTCCTCCGAAACTTAAACACATCTAGAGAAGGAAGCTACTCTTAGCATTTGAAATATCAAATTCCATCAATTTTATTTTGCATTAATCTACCGCGGACCATACATTTCTAAATATTATTACTGCATTGAGATGTCTGCAAATTTTTAGCTAGAATTCCACACAAATACTACCAGATGAGCTGCTGCAACCAAATCTCGATACATCTGGAGCCAAAACAGGTCGAATTGCTTGCTGAGGTAAATTGATCCGAGGCAAATTTAAACCAGGATTTGAGAACATCTTCCTTTTTTGATGCACTAAACCATAAACCAGATATTGCAAATCTGAACCTCTGGTAAAATAATTACAAAACACCAACCTTTTCGTATCATTTTTGCTAAAATAATTATCACCCACGAATTTGTCTCTTTCAACCTCATAATATGATACTCAAAGGACGAAGTTTTTGATAAAATAAATATAGCGGACAACAAATTTTATAAGTTCATAAGTTCAAGCAAAATTCTGGACATCTTGGAAATTTATTCAAAGCTAATACATAGGAACGAAATTCCGACTGGATAAGAAACTCGAAAAATACAGGACATAATAACAATAAAAAATCAGCATTTAAAAACAACACTTCAAGGAAGGAAAAAGAAACAATCGTGTTGAATAAAAGGATTAAAGATGTCTTTCTCACTGATGATGAGTATTCAAATGAAAAGAGGGAATAAATTCATACAAAGAAACAGCGATAATATTTCATACACATATCTGACCTGAAACAAGACGTTGCCTTATCCTTCACGCATAGTTGCATCCTCTAAATTCCGATGGCGCTTCACCCGTGATAAACCTGTAAATTAAAAAGAACACAAATCAAACTTTCTTCTCTATTAATTATACAAACAGCAATATATATATTTCAGTATTCCAAGAAAAGCATGAAAAATGAAATAATTTCAAAAGTTTCAGAACATCCTTTAAGCAGGAACAAAATAAAACACCAGAATAATCCTCTTTGTAAATCTATTTCTATGAAAGCTTCGTTCCTGCTCTATTTATTAAAAACTTACTAATGATATTATGTTTCAGAAACTAACCTGCATCATCCTTTGACACTGAGTAAACCCATTCCGGTCGACATAACTGTCGAAGATGTTCCACGAAACGGTTATCATGCGTTATGATAATAAGTTGGAACATTTTAGCATTGTTTGCACATCGAGCCGAAATAATGTCTGCCAACATATCGCCCAAATTTTCTACCCGAAAAAAAAAATCTTGAAAGATGACAGACCTAGAAAATAATAATTCATCCATTTCGTAAGCATAAATAATAGATGTGCAAATATCGTACAAAATGGATATGGTTAAAAAGCTGATATGACTGCATCAATTCGCTTTTTAGCCTTTAGATGGAGAAGTCAGATAACTTACTTTCAACACATCCAGATTTGCAGTTGGTTCATCAAGCGCAATTATCGAACATTTGTCGCAGAAGACATCTGATAGTGCAATTCGTATCAATATCGACGCAAGCATCTGAATAGATACTGCAGTTATCCATTATTTTGGTCTATATTTTCGATCACTTCACTTAGCTTCTATTTTTTTATAACAGGTGCTTTTTCGTTCAAATGGCAATTTATACAAACTACTTCCTTCATTAATTTGAATTACACTTCAAACAAACAAATGCCAGAAGATAATAAGCAAAAAATCACACCTTCTGCCCGGCACTACATCTTCCCGGCATATCTATTTCAGTGCCACCAACATACATTACCACGCGATAATTATATGATTTCTTTTTTTCATTTTCGCCAGCGCTTTCAGATCTTTAAATAAATAAACAAATAAAACAAAAAATGGAAGAAGGCAATTCTGTAAGACAGCTGACCTCGTATTTTACATAAAATATCCGCAAAACAGCAATCCAAACTAAAATACTTTAAACATCATCTATATGAATTTTGGACTAAGTACAATTATATGAGGTCAATAGACTGAAGCAAAAGCCTAAATTTTTACTTGATCTGTATAGTTTCAATATCATTGCCGTGATATACTTGTTCCCATAAAGAACTCAACACCTCGTTGATTTCTTCCATTTTTTGAGCATGAAATTTCACAACAGACTCATCCACTGCTCGTATATAATTTGCCAAATCCTATCAATAAGTCAAATAGATGAGTTGGATAAATTATGCATAGTGTAAGCTTATTAAATTGAAATAAGTTCTGAAACAAGAAAATGAAGAACCTCTATAACTCTTTTGATGACACATTTCTTCACGACTTCTTTTTTAAATTCTGCTTTGAACTCTGCATACTCAGATGATGCCAAAAACTTTTCCATAGTCGCTAGCCGTTTCCTCTGTTCATTCAGTTCACCGGAAATACAAAATTACTAATTAAAGATAATTCAAAGACAGAAAAAAAAAAAACTGGATAAAGATTAATTGGTATCAGCCGCAGATCTAATTTCGTCTTAAAGGTCGCAGACAATTCAAAAAAAAAAAAAACTACTAATTACTAATTTAGCACCTCTTTTATTCTCGATCATCAACTGTAAATCATTGACTTGATTCGAGAGTGAGCTCAATTCTTCCCTCAATTCTGGGATTGCTTTACCATACCATTCTGTTTCTTCTAAGCTCTTATCTAAACTTTTGATTCGTTCTTGCAATTCCAACTTCCGAAGTTGGTCATCCAATCGATGTTTACGCTCTTGCTAGAAAATCATTACTCTAGTTTTAAAAGATTTTATGCCTTGTAAAAAAAGCTGCGAACATTTTTACCTGATGATTTAAACTGAATATTAATCTCAAATTAGTACCACAACTTTAATACAAAATGCATACTTTTGAATTCAAGCAATCAATTTGTCCCGTCAAATGACGCATTTTGGCATTGCTTGCACCAATTTCGGTATCTATTTTTAACAAATCCTTTTCTCGATCCTTCAAATCATCAGTACTATCAACAGCATCTTGCAGTTTCTTATCTATCATCTCTAAAAATTCAGAAACTGTAGACAATGTTATGAAGCTAATAGGTAAGCAAAAAGTAACAAAACATCTGAACTCCGCAACTATGCCCAATAATTACCTAATTCTTTGGCAGCATCTTCTGCATCTCGTAACAAACATAACAGTTCTGCTTCCTTATTTTTCGTTTCATTTTGTATAATAAATCGCTGCTCTTTCTTCATCTATAATGACAGAATAGTGAAATGAGAATCACTTGATTCGTACAATCGCTATTAGTTCTACATAAAAAAACAAAGGTCTTAATAGCTACTTGTAATTCCGCTTCAACAACCGGTTTTTGTTCCTTCAGTTTCTGCAAATTTTGCTTATTTTTTTCCAGTTCCTTCTCTTTTATTTCCAGTGACTTTTTTATAGAATCAAACTGCACTATTTTTTCACACAGGGCGGTTCGAAGCTCTTTTGATGCATTTAACTGAAATGGATTCACTAAAAAGAAATATTCAGAAACTCCCACTTCCAAAGGAGTTAATAATGATTTTAAAATTAATTAATTTAAAATGAGAGAAGCATAATTAAAACTATCATCGCTGTCGTTTTATTCGGAATACTGTAACTAAAATTTAATTTAATAAGGTAAAAAAACATTACATATGGTTAAAAACTTGCCTTTTCAACAAGTTTGCTTCTTTCAGAAGCTGCTGCCTGGATCATATCAATCCTATTAATCAATTCTGTGAACCGTTTCTAGAAATCAAATTGAAAATATTACAAAGAAAGTTATGCAAAAATGGTTTCAATTAAAACTGTGCAAATAATATGACAGCATTGTAAGATGATACTTAATCACCTCGTTCTCTCTTATTTCGATTCTCATATCGTCAAGTGACTGTTTCGTACATTCCGAAGCGTCTATTTCTGTTTTCAGCAATTTTATATCGTGTTTCGCATCTGATAATGACTTCCAAATGTTATCCATCAGAGATATATCAATCTGAAAAAATTTTAACTAACCGAAAAAAATACTTTGGAAAATTTATATGTAATAAATTATCTGTTTCTCATAACAAAATTATATCCATTTCTTGACTTCGCAAATCTTATTTCGAAATCATTCAATTTCTCCTAGATACTATTTTCCACCAAAGTAAAAAATAATGAACTTTCCTTACAAAAGTACAGAGCTCATTTTCAATTAAATAATTGATTATAATCGCTACATCAAGCTAGAAGAAAACAGACATAGAGCATACCTGAACACTGAGAATCACATTTAGCTTTTGCAAAATGATGTCTCTTTCAGATTTCGACTTCGCAAATTCTACTTCCACATCACGCAGTTTCTCCTGTATTTTAATATATTCCGGTGCAGTTAAATTACAACGTAAAAACTAAGATACCATTTAAAAAGAATCTATAAAATGAAAATATATATATAAAGAGTATACTTCTGCCTTTTTAAAGTTTTCTTGCAATCCTTCTTTCTCACTATTTGATTGTTTCAACATCCCAACATAAGGTACAATTTCTAAAAGTTCATTTTGCATTGCTTCATAATCCTTTACTTTACGGATCAGTTTTTCAGCATCTTGATTAAAACCTTCCTTCCTTTGCCTTATCTGAAAATTGATTCAAATTTATTACAATATTAAATACTTTATGAAAATTACGAGAATAAGAATAACAATAGTCCCACACTATATCTATAAAAATTTACACATTCTTTCCATGATCTTAGTCTCTTATTAGATTTTTGAGCCTAATAAAATTTATATGCCATTCTGCACAGACCTTTTCTTTAAGAACATTAGAATTCTCTATACCGCTGTACGATTGTTCACAGAGCGGGCAACATTTCTTCATATTGACTATTTCCTCCCATTGTTCATATAAGAACACACAACCATTGATACGCCCTGAATCCTGTTGCGATTTCCTAAGAAGTGTTCTGATTTCATTCAAACGCGGTTCTACTTCATCTTCATGAGTAACTACCTGCAAATTTTACAAATAACATAAGTGGAAGAGAATTATTCATTGATATATTTATTTAAATCCATAAAAGGTAACAAAATCAAAGAAAGAATCCATATTTTTTTTTCTTTTGTTTTAGTTTTCTTAAGAAATGAAGGCATCTGAAACTGCAGAAAAATTGAAGTCATTATTATGAACAAGTATGCCACATTTGTTCAAGAAAACAACCTTTGTTATCTTTCGCCTGCAGGATGCAATTCGGTCAGACAATTGATCCAGTTCTCGACCAACTTGTGACAAAGCAAACTGAGCTCGCGATACCTCCTTTTC